CTCTCGGCCGTGCATGCAGTATCACATGTAAATACACTGCGAATAGCAAAGTACTGGCGTACTATTTGTATCTCGTAATCATTCTAGGACACATGATGATAAAAAACTTTGTCGTTTGGATTTGTGACTGCAATAATCAAATTAACGACTTTCAACGAATTAATGGTGATAGTTTAGATAAACAACCGCTACTTATGAAAAAAACGTCTGATTTGGGAAATTATTAAGTTATACTAATACGCCTGGTGTTTTTATTCACAGTTCATACTTGTAGACGCATCAGCTAATTTAATAAGGCCGCTTTAATTACACTATAGGCGCATTAACTACCAAAGTTAATCCGCGGACTAACAGATTCGCTAATCAAATATGGCCGAACCACTTGAAAGCTTACCGCGTTATCCCTGCGGGGAATCTATTCTACTAGGGAATTATGCAACAAGCTTCCGAATAGGTCGGCCATATTGGATCTGCGGATCTGTTAACTCCCGACCAATTTGTTCTGAATGAGGCCTATATTTAAACTGTTTTTATAGTACATATATATATATTGCGTGCACTTTTCCATTTTCCAAGGCACATGTGCACCTTACAAGTTATCTGATCTCGTGTACACTTCACGTAAAATGACAGAGGGACAGAGGGTCGGCTATATCAGTCTGATGATCAGATAATGTCACAAAGCCATAAACAATCTTTTCCAATTACCAGAAAATGGGGATAAAATAAAACAATCTGTTCCCCTTGATGTTCAGTTTTTTGTAGTTCATCGACTGGAAGTAAAGCACTTAAAGGGATAACATCTGTTCGTTTTGGCCAAAAATTGAATTTTCCTGGAGTAAACAACAATTTTCCATACTTACCAATGGTTAATGAATCCATTTCTACATTCAAAGTTAGTCCCTGTTTCTTTTTTTTTTCTTAAAAGTTTGTTTGTTTTGTTATAATCTCTTAAGGGATTATAACAGAGTATAGCCATCTATGGAGGTCACGTGGTCCGATGACAAGTTCAGAAATCAGAATAATAGCTATAACTGCCGTTATTATATTATATATATTATATTTCTATGAGTTGTTTACAATGTTTTTATTGTGAAATATAGATCTCATACGAAGAGCTATTATCCAATTTATTAAATGAAATTGTTTTCTGCAGTTTCGGAGGAACTGTCTCTTCGTCGGCAGTAATTTGCAATATCGTGAATTAAAGAACTAAGCCTTTTCCTAAACACGTAGGACCTCAGTGTGTATATGTAAGGATTAGCGCATGTATTTATAAATCTAAATGAACTTGCAATTACACCGATAATATACTGATTTATATCAAGACTTGACGATTGTGATTTAAATATTATAAAAATAATGAGAAAAGGCAATATACTAATTAGAAATATGACCAGTAAAAGTAAACTAGACAAAATAACTTGCTGGTCTTTCTGTATGATTTTTACATAGTGCATGTCCGAACCTGTTTGCACCTCCATTACGTCGGTTGTTTCCTGTGCAATTATGTCTATAGTGTCAGGGCTCACGTTGCCTCTTGTCCACCGAACTTGAGCATTCGTGTTAATTTTTCTTTGGGAAAATTGCGGTACATCTGTTCGCTGCGAGGTGGAGCAAGATGGAGCTCCGGATCCTGGTAGTTCCTGGGCGTCTCTGGCTGAAATGGCTTCTATTGCGGTTGGCGCGTTTCCTGTAGATTTTGGTATACATGTATGAACACAATGGCTTTGTTGATGCTGTCGTGAGACACGCTCTATAGGAGTAAAAGTCGGAGAAAGTGATTCGTCTGTGTTGTTGCCACCATCCGCCATAAACATGTTGGCGACATTTGCAGACACTGTGTGTACGGTATGTCCAGTGTAGTAAGGTTTTACCAACTGGCGTTGTTTTAAAATTTTTTTCACGACTGACAAGTAAGATAATATTGTTACTGTAACGCAGGTCATTGCAAATGTATAAGCAATTTTAAATAAAACACTGCTAGGTTGTTTTCCGTCCTTCTGACATTGCAAAGGGAACACAAATTCCCTGTTAGATTCGGAAACAAATGCAAAGAATATGATGCCTAGAATCCAATGTGCAGTCAGGCATATTTTGAAAACATGCTTTGGGATAGTCAGAGTAGGCTTGTGAAACTTGGCTGCTCGCAGGACACTTATACTGGCCAAAATAACGATATTCATAAATGGTCCTAGGGCTAAAACACGCCCTATAGAGCAATTGATAGAAAGTGTCGATTCATCCCATGACCAAAGTGTCATAACGAATAACGGGCACCCAATTAAAGACATAAACAGATCAACGAGTGCTAAGTTAATGTGGAATGAATTCCACCATGTTTTCAGAGACGGAGTACTTCTTGTGATCATAATAACGCAAATGTTACCGAACGCTCCAAACACTGCCAATATAGCTGTAAATAGTGTCACGGTGATGTGTGTCCATCTTGTATCATCAAAAAATCCTGGCTGATTCCACAAGCTAGTGTTTTCTGTGGCGTTGTATCCGCTGGACGAATTCCTCATTTTGTATATTGGTAGTGGTATTTTTTTTTTTACCGTTTTAAATACTGGTATGGCTAAAGAAAGAGGTCCAAATGTCGTCAATCCAGCCCGTTCGATATGTTCCTTCAATAATACGATATCAAGACGTGTGCCGACAGAATGCTCCACGTCATCATAATTACTGCCGCGTATAACATCCACAAACAACCTGGCAACGCAACTTGAATCCAGCCAGAATCATTATCAAAGCAGACCTGGAACAATCTTTACAACAGTGCTACAGACATCACGCGCGAAAAGAATACAAAGTCATCCTACATAATTTCATTATGTCCTTTAGACAAAAATTCCAGTTTTAAATCTTTTCAAAAAGCTAAAAAGAAAATAAAGTCGTTTTGAAGGTGATGTGTTAGAATATACTAGTACATACAACCCGCGTGTTTTCCACAAGCAGTTCTCAAACAACAAGAGTGAAAATGGTAATTCGGAACTTAATATCGACACACTTCATTATAATTTTCAAAACATGATGAGTGGTGGATTTTGAAATACATGAATTAGACTATAATGTAGATTAATATACAGACACAATTTCAAAAATAATTGCGATAACCACCGTTTTGGTGGTAAAATAAAATTTATTTTATTTCTATGAGTTGTTTACAATGTGTTTATTGTGAAATGTGGATCTCACACGAAGACTTGTTATCACTTTAAGATGCTTAAAAATAGGCTAGTGGCTTGGGTTAAAAACAACTGTATTAACGTCACGACTAATATTCATTTCGGATCTAAATCTGGACTTAGTACTGATCATGTTTTCTGCTACAACGATTGATTAATAAGAAGCAGTATTGTGCGCTTATAGACTACAAATCCGCTTTCGATTTAAAATGATAAGCCGGGTCTTTGGGAAAAATAATTAAACTCGGTGTGCAAGGGAAATGATACAAGCCGTCTTTATAGCGGTGTTAAATCTTGTGTTAAGTATGAAGGCAACTATCAAAATACTTCCAAATATATACAGATCTTGTACAAGGAGAGGCCATGTTCACTCTATTTTAGCCTTTATATGTAAATGATTATGAAACTCTTTGTTTATCGAAATTTTGTGACTGTGTAGAAGACATCTCTTCTTATTTGCGTATGCTGACGATAATGTACCCTACTTTTTTCAAAAACTCCTCAAGGTTAACAAAAAACTAATAGTTACCCTACAGAAATACTCACATTGGAAATTTACAGTGGATATAGTAAAAACAAAAAGAATATATGGTAACTATAGTGTGGTTAAGGGCTGTTTAATAAAGGCTGATGAAACATGGACGTATAACGATTTTGAAAGGGTGAATAGGTTCAGTAACCTTGGTTTATCGGTAAGTTTTGTTAAAAACATATTGCAAAGCATTTTAAACTATGCATCGGAAATATGGGAGGAGATTACGTGAATAAGGAAAATAATGTTGAATTTCTGAAAAAACACGGAACGATTTTATAACTTTGAACAAATCCCATGCGATTAAAATCCCGAAAATCGGAGATTTTCCTGCCAATATCACTTTGAATAAGCAAAAGTTTGTCAGCAAAGGGTCAAGAAATCATAATGATAACTGAAGCAGTCTTGTTTTTTCACAGACGCGCTTTGAATTTGTTTTATTTTCAGTGTATAAATATTATAAAATACAGGGCCATAGCCAGTTAATTTAAAGGGGAGGGGCATGGCGAGGGGGGGGGGGTCTTTTTCTGAAAAAGACGACCTTTTGCCATGAAATCTTATGGAAATCTTCATCGAGTTTTTACCCAGAACGGACCTTTTCCCGGCACCCCCCCCCCCTCCTCCTTTCCAACTACGGGCCTGAATTTTTTATCTGAGAAACCTTTTTACTTCAAAACCTAGCTAGGCCTACATGTGCTTTGCTTTTATTTTATTTGTTTTTTTCATAAAGGAAAAGTAAATAGATCAAAGTTAATTTGACAGACTTTAAACCAATATTATATAGCACTTTTTCTGAAAAAGTGGACCTAGATCGATTTTTACCCACAGCAGTCCTTTTACAGGTGTGACAGGAATGGTAGTCGTAGGAATAGAAGTCCTATACGCTTAGTACAGGTTAGGGTTAGTTGGAGTAATTAGGGTTAGTATATGGGACGCATGTAACCTGGGAAACGGGCATCGGTTCCTAGCGGACTTTTATTCCTGTTACACCGGGCCACTTTACGGAACTAATCGTGTAGCCACTTCGCGCCAAATAATAACAAATAGGTCAAACCCCAGGTCACTGGTATAGACTCGTCTATAATTAAAGAGCTGCATGTAAAATCAACGTGCAATATCGAACGAAAAACAAAAAACTTTCACATGTTGGATCAAAGAACGAAAAATGTAAATAACAGATAGTTTGTTAAACGTAATAAAAGGATATGTGCAACAGAAATAGAGATAGATTAACGCAGGCACAGGTGCTGCTATCCCCTACATTTGAACGAGTTCATTAGGCTCCATGTGCGGCGGCTTTAATCCCAGTGATGTCGAAAGCGCAGAACTCGATCCTTTCCTACTTTAGCAAGACACCAAAGTCTGAAAAAACACAGAACAAGGAAAAGAATGTCCTGACACCGAAACAGACGCGATCCTCGCCAAATAGGTCGGGAAGTCAGGGGGACAAGAAGGAGAAAGCAACTGGGAAAGTGGGTCAGTGTCACTGTCACAGAGTCAACGTAAACATGGAGTACAGTACCCATAACTTTATTATGGCCAAGGTTTAATGATAAGCATATATATGTACTATCACCAGAACTTGTTTTAACTGTTTTTAAATCAAAGTTCTCGTCGGTGCTTGGGAGACGTCGATATGTTAACAAAACTTGATTGACATGTACTGTACCATCTACCATGCAGGGCCGCTAGCTGTTATTAATTATTATGTTGACATTTTCTCTGAGGCGACAGTACGGAGAATGACCGTCAGTTTAATCAGAGACATATCTGTGAATATCTAGTGAAAAAATCAATCCGTGGCCCTGGAAGAGGGTAACGGCCATGAATCAAGGAATCATGTACTGTACAGTATTTTCTGGGTCGGAGAAATGAAGGGGGGGGGGGGGGGGGGAAAGGCAGTCGCACTTACATGTTAATAATAATTAATATTAATACTATGTTCCTTATGGTGTCCGGTGAGTCTAGATCAGACTTGCTATGATACTTAATAAATAAATTATGATATTTTGATTGCAGCACCAGGAGATGTGGTCTGGGCTAAGCTGGAGGGGTATCCGTGGTGGCCCAGTTTGGTCTGTAACCACCCTACCTTGCACACCTGTACCAGGACCAAAGGAAGAAACACGGACGTACATGTGCAGTTCTTCGACAACCCGCCTTCCAGAGCCTGGGTGAAGGAGAAGTGAGTCAAGACTCATTTGTAGGGTTGTTTTATGTGTCAGGTCTTTCTCCTGACAAACACCTAACATTTGGAAAACATTTCCAAAATGTTGTCACCATAATGTGTTTGCATAACCTTTTAATAATATTATTAAAACCTTTTAAACATTTGCAAAATGTTGTCACTAAAACTTTTTATGCACAATGTTTAACAATATTATTTAAACATTTCACATTAATGTTTTTAAAACATTTTGGTGAAAATGTTAACATTTTCTAAAAGATTTTTCAAATAACAACGTTTTCAGATAGCATTTCCAAAATGTTACCAAACTGTCTTTTAATATATTTCTATCTTCTAACAGATATGTGAAACCATTCACTGGCTCGGACAGCGCTGATTTCCAGCGTGGTGGACAGTTCTTCAGTGCGGACCCCCAGTGTCGCAAGGGAGCCACTGAGGCAGACAAAGCTGTTGCGTCTAGTGTTGCGGACAGACTGAAATTGGTTGTGGACTTACAGCCATCATCTGATGAGGAGGAGGAGGAGGAGGAGGGGACAAAGATTGATGATATTGATTGGGATGGTGAGTTTGGAAGACACAAGAGCCTTATTATTGGAGCTGTGATTTCATTTGAAATTTATAAGCATTTTATCATTTAGTAGTAGAATTATAAAAGCAAGAAAAGATTGTGAGACATATTTTCACATGAGAGATTTTTTAAGTGAATAAGTAAAAAAAAATGTCATGACAGAGAAAATACATATTTCTTTTTATTTAGATGAAATATTTGACAACGAGGCAGACAATAGTAAAGAAAATCATGAAGAAGAAGAAGTTGGTGCAGAGACAAAAAGTAACAAAAAGGTAAATTAGATTATGAAAATCCAAGTGTTTTTTTTTTACATTTTGAAAAGTATAATTTTCACATGTTCCTTGTTTTGAGTTTTGATAAGGTTTAAATTTCCACTTGGAAATTGGATATTGACTTTGAGTTAAATCAAGGAATTTTAAAACTGCTTGATTGAATCAACTTAAAGTGATGCTTACATTCAAACTTATACAATAATGGTTTCTCTGTGACTTGTGTAATGTGAATTGTTTATGAAACTGTTGAATGTGTCATTATTTTACAGTGTTAGATTTTAGTATAAAAGTTGATTTCAGTTGCTTATTGTAAAAGAAAAAAATTCTGTGGTTTCTGAGAAAGGATTTCTCTCCAGAAAACTCCCCAAAAACCCACCCCAAAGAAAAATGGCCGCCCATCCAGAGGCAGTAAGGCCAAGAGAAGGAGGATAAGATTACCAAGTGATGACAGTGAGGATTCGGGTACGGGCAGAAATTTTCTCCACTAAAAGATATTATATTATAGCTAGCCTAAATATATGTTTTCAATTCTTTTGAAAGTGCAAGCTAAATATAGATAAGTTAGCTGTAAAATAAATAATGTAGTATAAAAAATGTGTCCATATTTGTGAGAATTAACATTTTTTTATGATTTTTGACAATAACACTTGTTCAGTGTTGTCTGTAGTGAAGTGCCTTAGGTTCCATGAATTTCACATTTTTCTTTTATCAGGGGATGAATACAAACCAGCTAAATCAGAGAATGAGAGTGAGTCTGAAGATAGTGCAGGAAGTGGTGTGGATGAGGCAGATATCTCTGAACCTGAGACGGAATCAGATACTGGAACTCCAGTTAAGGTAGTGTGTGCCAGGTTCTTATGATCCCTTTCACACCTTGCAATATGTTGGGGTCGATCTAACTGACATTTATAAGAGGGTCCTGTCTGCTATACCACCTAGCTGTCAGTGAGTGTCAATGTCTACTTATATCAGTCTGATGAAGGCCTTCGCCCATGTTGGCCATAAGCTTACAGTATGAAAATATTTCGGCGTGTGTTTGATAATTTTCACTTATGCTGCAATATACAGTATGTATTTGTATTGCAACAATTTGCCTGGTCCAAACAGGTACTGGTACATTACTCGGGGAGGGGTGGGGTGGGGTGGGTTGCTTCCTTTCATTTTCTTTCACAAGTTCACTTACTACTATTTGAGAGTATCAAAATTTTTCAAAGTAACTGGTTGTGTCTTGTCTGGGGGTTCTGTTTGATGAGGCTGTTATGTAATGCCCGGGCCAGCCTTTTGAGTTGTTGATCTCTCAAAATGTTGAGATACAAATTCTTAAGCCACACAGTGTAAAAAGGAGTTAGGATTTTCCTGTAACTGCTGTGTCTGCAGAATGGTACCTGGTCCCAGTTTCACACACAAAAAAAAAAAATAATAATAATAAATAAATAAATAAATAAATAAATAAATAAATAAAATAATAATATGATAATAATAATAAATAAAAAATTAGTTGACTGGGATTTCCATGTGATTGCAGTTGCACTGCTATTGATAGGGTAAGATGTGACCACTTAACTTGGTAATTAAGTACTTAGCCCGGGAACCTGACTTAAGTTTTTTGTGAAACTGGGGCTAGGCCAAAGCCTTGTTCCATTTAAACAACAATAAGATACATGTATACAGTATACAATGGTGTAAGGTGACAAATGATCCTCAGTCAGAGTGCAGTAGCTTGAGATTTACTTGCATGATACAGGCAATTTTAAAAAATAAGTTAGAAGATAGTTTTGGAAGTAGATGTGACAAATAGATTGGGTTTCTGAACTTGACTGTGAATGTGATGTTCAGACTCTGGGCGTTGCTCCATCCAAGCTGAAGTAGTATGTGACATGTGAATTCATATGAAAATACCCAATTTTGTATATAATGCTTATAATATAAATGATTTTAAATTTGTAAGTACCTTTTAAAAAATGGTCATTTTGAATTTATTTCTTGACTGTAAGAAAAATGCATTTTCATAAAACCACACTTCAAACTCTTGTTTTGGTGCTATACATTGTAATTTGAACTTAAAAGAATTTGATCTTTTTCAGAATTCAAGAAAAAGGAAAAGGGGGTCAGTTACTTCATCTAAAACACCTGGGGTAGCAACAAAAGCTAAAGAAAACCTCAGCTCCTTTGCCAACATCACCCCCGGTTCCCCACTGAGTGGCGCATCCACCCCTCTCACGCCTCTCAGCAGGAGTTCCACCCCTCATACCCCTGTTAGCGTCAGTGACAAGACGAAGAGCAAGCTCATGGCATGGGCTGCCCCAGATACACCAGTGAGTGTTTGATGGTGCTTGTTATAGGTTTCACTATCATGTAGAAGATGTCACTTAATGTTTTATATGATTTGTCTCTGTTTCACAAAATGAAAAAAAAATCAGAAAAAATAGTTTGAAGAAGAAGAAAAAAGGAAGAAAAATAAATATGGTTAGAAACAAATGTGAAAATAGCCAGAATTCAAAATTAATATACATTTGTTAGGAAAATATCCTTCTCCATTTTTTATTTACTTAGAAAGTTCAATTCACATATTTTTCATACTGTTTGAAAGAAAAGTAAAAATGAAAAATTTGACAGTGACAGACAAATTTTTTCATCTGCAGCCTGAGACGTCTGCCCCAGTCAGTGAAGATGGAACAGTATATATGCACTACACATTGGACTTCCTCAAACCAGAAAAGATCAAGTAAACTTTTTCATTTATTATTCATTTATAAAATCAGGCATGGAATTTTGCTCCAACTTTTGGTGGAAACTGACACCTTTTCTCTAGGGACCCTACCTGAGGTTGAATAAAAATGCTTCAGTTGACAAAGTCTGCAGTTTTTTTTTTTTTCAAACATTTTACACAAAGGCCAGTATCATGTTTGTTGATTTCATTTGAATGTGTTTCATATAAATATATTTTATGTTAACAAACCATTTTTCTCTTGTCTGAAAATTTTAATTTTTTTTGCCTATTTGCTATTGAATGACGTGGAAAATATATAAGTTTCTGTCATATTGAGATAGAAAGTCATTAAAATTTCTTTCTCAACCTTTCTCGTATATTATTTTTTTCTTATTAACTGTTAAATTAATTTTGTTAACAGAGACATTGATGGCAGAAGACCAGATCACACAGAATATGACCCAAGGACACTCTATGTGCCTGACACCTTCAAAAAGAAGCTGACCCCAGTAAGTAAAACATAAAATGTGTCATCTTAGTGTTATTTTTATTTTCATATTGGTTTGAAGTGTAAGCAGACAAAATTTCATAGATTTAAATCTTTTATGATCATTAACCTGTTCACATAATTAAAAAAGTATTTCTCCATTACAACGTATATTATTAGAAATTTAAAGAACAATTTGGCATAGCTTTTCTTAGAAGGATGATGTGGCCCTGAAAAGGGCCTTTAAAGTGAAAGCCAGATGAAATTTAAAGCTCTGACTCAGGAATGCACTGTCTATACTGAGACCTCTGGATAGCTTCTGCCTCTTCAGAAACCCGCAGTGCATACTCATAGATCATCTGCTTCACACCAAAGAGAGTGGTGATCTGCAGACGAAGGTTGTAGCGAGATGCAGGTCTGCTGGTCTTTGTAGCTCTCTGATAGCGTTGCTGGAGGCCCTTGATGTGATTCTCTAGCAACTGTAGTTGGTTCAAAGCCTGGGTGAACTTGCCATGCATAATGATCAGTTGATCGTTTACAAAGTCAAGATCTGGCAGACAACCATCTTCAAACAAGCTGGAATCAGTGAACTGAAAGTCATACGTGTCATCTTCTGAATCAAAGCTGTCATCCATCCACTGGTCACTGTCACTGTGATCAAAACTGGTCTGGTTTTCCATTTTGGCAAACTGGAGAAAAGTGGAGAGCAACTGTCTTGTAGAGAGTTGAAACTCAAGTGATGTTCAGTCAGTGGTGGTCAGGTCCTTATATAGCCAGGGAATTTTGTCAGAAAATTTACATTTTTCTGGAAAAAATGGCTTCATTTTAGGTTTCAGGATTGAAGTTTGATGAATAGGAAGAAATGATTAAGAGGTCAGGTGACCTACCTTAATGAGGCCCAATTAAGATCAAAGAGTTTCATCACCTGTTGTCAGATCTTTTACCTGTTAAACCCATCACAGACTTTTATCTCAAAGACTAGTTAAGCAGACTGTCAGTACAGGTAGGTTTTTTGAAAGGTGACTGGCAACTTTGATCAAAGGTTTAAGATTAAACCAGTTAACAGCTCTGACTAATTTACATGTTTATCAGCTAGCCTGCTTTGTTCAAGATTTAGGTTACAACATAGTCCTCAATAAAAAACACCACAGTAAATCCCTGCAAAACATTATATTTCAAAGTAATTACCAGACTCCTATTCTTTTGCTTCCCCTTTCTTAAAGAATACCATAAGACGTAATTTTTAAGTTCTTTTTCTTACTAAAAATTATTATAATTTCAAATTTTATTTTTTAAGTCTGCATTTATCCCCATCCAACACACCATAATAAGATATTAAAGTAAGTTTTTAAAATTTCAAATTAACAGGGTTTATGATGAAGAGCCAATTGGTTCTACCTGTAGTTTAATAAGTTAGTTTTATAAGTCAACTGTTTAAATTAACAATAAGATGTTACTGAAGTGTGTTTTATCAAAGAACTATCTATACATTTAAAGCTTACATTTATTGAAGAAAGTTGTGAATTTTATGATGTTGGGTATCCAAACAAATGAAGTAAATGAAATTTCTTTAAAATATGTAATGGGGAAAAATATAAGTCAGAAAGGAAAAGGTTTTAACTAAGTTTTTTATTTGAAACAGAAAAAGCCTGTCTCCAAGGGCATTATTTTTTACGCACAACACTAAAATAAATGAGGAAAAAAACAAAAAAACAAAACAAGGCAGACTAGCTGATTAACAAGTTCATTAGTGAGGACTATTAACCAGTTTTATTAAAAACCTTTGATCACAGTTGCCAGTCACCTTTCAAAGCACACTACCTGTACTGACAGTCTGCTTAACTAGTTAAACAATTGGTCTTTGTGATAAAAGTCTGTGACAGGTTTAACAGGTAAAAGATCTGAAAACAGGTGATGAAAGTCTTTGATCTTAATTGGGCCTCATTAAGGTAGGTCACCTGACCTCTTTATCATTTCTTCCTATTCATCAAACTTCAATCCTGAAACCCAAAATGAAGCCATTTTTTTTTCTTGAAAAATGTGAAATTTTTGACTAAATTCCCTGGCTATATANATATGTCTTGTCTGGGGTTTCTGTTTGATGAGGCTGTTATGTAATGCCCGGGCTAGCCTTTTGAGTTGTTGATCTCTCAAAATGTTGAGATACAAATTCTTAAGCCACACAGTGTAAAAAGGAGTTAGGATTTTCCTGCAACTGCTGTGTCTGCAGATTGGTACCTGGTCCCAATTTCACAAAAAAAAAAAAAACAACAAAAAAAAAATAAATAAAATAATAATAATAAATAAAATAAATAAAATAATAATAATAATAATAATTAATAAAAAATTAGTTGACTGGGATTTCCATGTGATTGCTGTTGCACTGCTTTTGATAGGGTAAGATGTAACCACGTAACTTGGCCCGGGAACCCGACTTAAGTTTTTTGTGAAACTGGGGCCAGGCCAAAGCCTTGTTCCATTTAAACAACAATAACATACTTGTATACAATGGTGTTAGGTGACAAATGATCCTCAGTCAAAATGCAGTAGCTTGAGATTTACTTGTATGATACAGGCAATTTTAAAAAATAAGTTAGAAGATAGTTTTTGAAGTAGAGTAGACAAATTGATTGGGTTTCTGAACTTGACTGTGAATTTGATGTTAAGACTCTTTGCGTTGCTCTATCCAAACTGAAGTGGTATGTGACATGTGAATTCATATGAAAATACCCAAATTTTGTATATAATGCTTATAATATAAATGATTTTAAATTTGTAAAAGTACCTTTAAAAAAATGGTCATTTTGAATTTATTTCTTGACTGTTAGGAAAATGCATTTTCATAAAACCACACTTCAAAACTCTTGTTTTGGTGGTGCTATACATTGTAATTTGAACTTAAAATAATTTGATCTTTTTCAGAATTCAAGAAAAAGGAAAAGGGGCTCAGTTACTACATCTAAAACACCTGGGGTAGCAACAAAAGCTAAAGAAAACCTCAGCTCCTTTGCCAACACCACCCCCAGTTCCCCACTGAGTGGCGCATCCACCCCCCTCACCCCTCTCAGCAGGAGTTCCACCCCTCATACCCCTGTTAGTGTCAGTGACAAGACAAAGAGCAAGCTCATGGCATGGGCTGCCCCAGATACACCAGTGAGTAAATGATGGTGCTTGTAACAGGTGCCGTTATCATGTAGATGTCATCACTTAATGCTTTATATGATTAATCTCTGCTTCACAAAATGAAAAAAAAATCAGAAAAAATAGTTTGAAGAAGAAGAAAAAAGGAAGAAAAAATAAATGTGCTTAGTCACAAATGTGAAAAAAAAAGCACAATTCTAAATTAATATCCATTTGTTAGGAAAATATCCATCTCCAATTTTTGAAGTTGATTATATTAACCAGTCATTTTTTCCTGTAATATTAATCTTAATTAAATGTACAAAAAGAGTCAACTTAAAAAGTTCAATTCACATATTTTTCATACTGTTTGAAAGAAAAGTAAAAATGAAAAATTTGACAGTGACAGACAAATTTTTTCATCTGCAGCCCGAGACGTCTGCCCCAGTCAGTGAAGATGGGACAGTATATATGCACTACACATTGGACTTCCTCAAACCAGAGAAAATCAAGTAATTAAACCTTATCATTTATTATTTATTTATAAAATCAAGCATGGAATTTTGCTCCAACTTTTAATGGAAACTATCTCCTTCTCTCAAGGGACCCCACCTGAGGTTGAATAAAAATGCAGTTGACAAAATCTGCAGTTTTTTTTCAAACATTTTACACAAAGGCCAGTATCATGTTTGTTGATTTCATTTGAATGTGTTACATATAAATATATTTTAAGTTATCACACCATTTTTCTCTTGCCTGAAAATTTAATTTTTTTTTTTTGCCTACGTATTTGCTATTGAATGACGTGGAAAATATATAAGTTTCTTTCATATTGAGATAGAAAGTCATTAAAATATTTTTCTCAACCTTTCTCGGATATTGTTTTTTTTCTTATTAACTGTTAAATTAATTTTGTTTACAGAGACATTGAAGGCAGAAGACCAGATCACACAGAATATGATCCAAGGACACTCTATGTTCCTGACACTTTCAAAAAGAAGCTTACCCCAGTAAGTAAAACATAAAATGTGTCTGCTTTTGTGCTATTTTTATTTTCGTATTGGTTTGAAGTGTCAGCAGACAAAATTTAAATCTTTTATGATGATAAACCTGTTCGCTTATTTAAAAAAAAAAGTGTTTCTTTGTTATTACTTATATTATTAGAAATTTAAGAACAATTTGGCATAGCTTTTCTAAGAAGGGTGTGGTGGCCCTGAAAAGGGCCATTTAAATGAAAGCCAGACTACATTTAAAGCTCTGACTCAGGAATGCACTGTCTAAACTGAGACCTCTGGATAGCTTCTGCCTCTTCAGAAACCCGCAGTGCATACTCATAGATCATCTGCTTCACACCAAAGAGAGTGGTGATCTGCAGACGAAGGTTGTAGCGAGATGCAGGTCTGCTGGTCTTTGTAGCTCTCTGATAGCGTTCCTGGAGGCCCTTGATGTGATTCTCTAGCAACTGTAATTGGTTCAAAGCCTGGGTGAACTTGCCATGCATAATGATCAGTTGATCATTTACAAAGTCGAGATCTGGCAGACAACCATCTTCAAACAAGCTGGAATCAGTGAACTGAAAATCATACGTGTCATCTTCTGAATCAAAGCTGTCATCCATCCACTGGTCACTGTCACTGTGATCAAAACTGGTCTGGTTTTCCATTTTGGCAAACTGGAGAAAAGTGGAGAACAACTGTCTTGTAGAGAGTTGAAACTCAAGTGATGTTCAGTCAGTGGTGGTCAGGTCTTTATATAGCCAGGGAATTTTGTCAGAAAATTTACATTTTTCTGGAAAAAATGGCTTCATTTTAGGTTTCAGGATTGAAGTTTGATGAATAGGAAGAAATGATTAAGAGGTCAGGTGACCTACCTTAATGAGGCCCAATTAAGATCAAAGACTTTCATCACCTGTTTTCAGTTCTTTTATCTGTTAAACCTATCACAGACTTTTATCTCAAAGACCAATTGTTTAACTAGTTAAACAGATCATCAGTACAGGTAGGTTTTTTGAAAGGTGACTGGCAACTTTGATCAAAGGTTTAAGATTAAACCAGTTAACAGCTCTGACTAATTTACATGTTTATCAGCTAGCCTGCTTTGTTCAAGATTTAGGTTACAACATAGTCCTCAATAAAAAACACCACAGTAAATCCCTGCAAAACATTATATTTCAAAGTAATTACCAGACTCCTATTCTTTTGCTTCCCCTTTCTTAAAGAATGCCATAAGATGTAATTTTTAGGTTCTTTTTCTTACTAAAAATTATTATAATTTCAAATTTTATTTTTTAAGTCTGCATTTATCCCCATCCAACACACCATAATAAGATATTAAAGTAAGTTTTTAAAATTTCAAATTAACAGGGTTTATGATGAAGAGCCAATTGGTTCTACCTGTAGTTTAATAAGTTAGTTTTATAAGTCAACTGTTTAAATTAACAATAAGATGTTACTGAAGTGTGTTTTATCAAAGAACTATCTATACATTTAAAGCTTACATTTATTGAAGAAAGTTGTGAATTTTATGATGTTGGGTATCCAAACAAATGAAGTAAATGAAATTTCTTTAAAATATGTAATGGGGAAAAATATAAGTCAGAAAGGAAAAGGTTTTAACTAAGTTTTTTATTTGAAACAGAAAAAGCCTGTCTCCAAGGGCATCATTTTTTACGCACAACACTAAAATAAATGAGGAAAAAAACAAAAAAACAAAACAAGGCAGACTAGCTGATTAACAAGTTCATTAGTGAGGACTATTAACCAGTTTTATTAAAAACCTTTGATCACAGTTGCCAGTCACCTTTCAAAGCACACTACCTGTACTGACAGTCTGCTTAACTAGTTAAACAATTGGTCTTTGTGATAAAAGTCTGTGACAGGTTTAACAGGTAAAAGATCTGAAAACAGGTGATGAAAGTCTTTGATCTTAATTGGGCCTCATTAAGGTAGGTCACCTGACCTCTTAATCATTTCTCCCTATTCATCAAACTTCAATCCTGAAACCTAAAATGAAGCCATTTTTTTCTTGAAAAATGTGAAATTTTTGACTAAATTCCTTGGCTATATAAGGACCTGACCACCACTGACTGAACATCACTTGAGTTTCAACTCTCTACAAGACAGTTGCTCTCCACTTTTCTCCAGTTTGCCAAAATGGAAATCCAGACCAGTTTTGATCACAGTGACAGTGACCAGTGGATGGATGACAGCTTTGATTCAGAAGATGACGCGTATGATTTTCAGTTCACTGATTCCAGCTTGTTTGAAGATGGTTGTCTGCCAGATCTTGACTTTGTAAATGATCAACTGATCATTATGCATGGCAAGTTCAGCCAGGCTTTAAAACAACTGCAGTTGCTAGAGAACCACATCAAGGGCCTCCAGGAACGCTATCAGAGAGCTACAAAGACCAGCAGACCTGCATCTCGCTACAACCTTCGTCTGCAGATCACCACTCTCTTTGGTGTGAAGCAGATGATCTATGAGTATGCACTGCGGGTTTCTGAAGAGGCAGAAGCTATCCAGAGGTCTCAGTATAGACAGTGCATTCCTGAGTCAGAGCTTTAAATGTTGTCTGGCTTTCATTTAAAAGGCCCTTTTCAGGGCCACCACATCCCTCTTAGAAAAGCTATACTAGATAATCAATGAATATGTTCTGCGAGTCTCTGGAAAAGTGGAGGCAGTGCAGAGGTCACAGATTAGTCTGTGTACTTTGGAGTTCAAACTTTGTTTACTGAATATGTCGTGTAATACCAAAGGCCCTTTTCAGTGCTGCAAATGTTACCTAGAAACTTCAAAGGCTATGCCAAATGGCCCATTTATAAATTAGATAAAAAAAGAGGTCTTTTGAATTAAATATCATTTTAAGGTTAAGATAGAAAATATTTATTCATTTTTTTTTATTTGTACAGTCTTTAAAGCAAGTAAATCATAAATGTATACTTACTATGTACTTTTTTAAAAAAGTATTTCTTGTCATTTTAGGCCATGAAGCAATGGTGGGAGATTAAATCAAAACATTTTGACACTGTGTTGTTCTTCAAGGTAAGAAAACTACAATTTATATACTACATCTGTCTTCCAGTAGTGCAAAAGTAAACATTTTGGATTTACAGTAATGACAGTTTGTATGGGAAAAAAATGGTGCAATATTCAGTGGTGGATTGAGGCTGTCTTCTGCGTCTTCTGGAAAACGGTCAAATTTTCAATTTTACATTGACGGGTATCTAACTTCTGTTGGAAGACGGTCAAAAATGGAGATTGGATCAACAAAGATAATTTGGAAGACTGTCAGAAAATATATCTGGATCCGGCCCTGATATTTTTTGTCTTTCTCTTGTCAGGTTGGCAAGTTCTACGAACTGTACCACATGGACGCTGTCATAGGGGTGACTGAGCTGGGACTGATGTATATGAAGGTATAGTGCAGGGGTGGATTTAGGCCATCTTATGGGTCTTCCGGAAGACGGTCAGATTTTCAAGTTTACAATGACGGGTATCTACTGTTTTTCTGTTGGAAGACAGTCAAAATAGAGGATGCATCAACAAAGATAGTTTGGAAGGCTGTCTGAAAATATCTCTGGATCCGCCCCTGTAGTGTTGGAGGCAAATTTCAAGAAAAAGTGTGAAATTCTAGATGTAGGAAAGAGTGCTCTTCACATTTTTAGTGTCAATTCCCATCATTTGAAGATGTTATGTATTTCCAACATCTTGTTGGAATACTAATCGGCACATGTTGAGAACTGAGATGATGCCAATCTTAGGCCTGTTGTTATGAGAGTCAAAAAGTAGATCATTGTATTCTATGTATCACAAGAGTATCTTATCCTTATGTTATAAATGAAGTGAAATACAATAAATTACAAAACTCAAACCATAACTTAGCTATCATTCTGCCTTTTAATGAAATTTATTTATTATTTTTATGATAATGATGATTACTGTTATTAATTATTGATTTTTTTCTAACCTCCAGGGCAATTTTGCCCACTCGGGTTTCCCAGAGATTGCCTACAGTCGCTATGCCGATACCTTGATCCAGAAGGGGTACAAAGCAGCCAGGGTGGAACAGATGGAGTCACAGGAGAGTGCTGAGGAAAAAGGTATCACTTTTGGTCTTGATTGTTAGCAGTTTATAACTTTATTGGTCCTACATGCTATAGCCTTGTTCATTGTTTTTGGTAGATGGTTTAGAATTACTGATCCATTGGAAATAAGCATTTGATCACAAACTATTGTGATTAGATATTTTAGTCAAGTAGGGGTGGTTGGGAGGGGGTGGGGGCTATGGTTTAATTTCTACATATTTTCAGGCCAAATGCTTAGCTGTGTGTTGTTGAACCATGTACGTATGATTGAATTTTATAATTGTTGTCAGTTTCGTCATGCTCACATTATAAATGTTTAAGGAAATGTCTTTATTGTACATGGGGTAGAGGGTGGAGTATCCTTGCTGACTGTGGTAAGTTTATCATGGTCAGATAAGAGTATTGGAGTAAGAAGGGTCAGCCTAAATTGTATGTGAATGCGCTTTTTGTCCGTAATATACCTACAGTAAGCCTGTGAATTCCAGCTGCTGGCAAGGCCAACAAACTGATGCAGAGAGAACTGTGTAGAATCACTTCCAAAGGCACAAAGACCTTCAACTTCATGGATGGGGACAGTACAGAGAGTGGGAGTGATTACCTCTTGGCGATAGCAGAAAAGGTGCTTTTGAACCCATTTAGAAGAGCGGACTAACAAATCCATGGATCAAACATGGCGACCCACGAAAAAGCTTGCTACTTTATTCCTGATTAGACACTGAATAGATTCCCAGCAGGGATTACGCAAGAAGCATTCAAGTGGGTCGGCCATATTTGATCCGCGGATCTGTTAGTCTGCTGTCCTGAATGTGCTCTTTGTGGTTTCAATTGATGTAGACCCATGGTGTCTGTGAGAATGAGGCCTTAGAGCATAAGTGTGAATTGCCCGATTTTGAAGTTAAAGCTTAATGCATGTAGCATATTTTTATTTAAAATTTTCATAATTTTCAGAATAGTGAGGAGAGTTCTGGAGGTGAAAGCACCTATGGAGTGTGTTTTGTGGATACCTCTATTGGAAAATTCCACGTGAGTCACTTCACTTTTTCAAAACATGAAAATTCTGATTTTATAGAAATAATTTTTTGTCCAAATATATATATTACATTTTCATTGCTTGCTTTGCATTAGAGTTATAACCACAGTTGAGAAACATTGGGACTTTTTGGTTGTTTTAAAAATGGATTTAACCCAGGAAGCGATCACAATGCTGTTTAACTTTCAGATTGGTCAGTTTTCTGATGACCGCCATGGGTCAAGACTGAGGACGTTGGTTTCACACTTTAGACCAGCTGAAGTAAGTATTTGCTACACTGTACACTTGTTCATCAATAAACAAACAGAGTTTCATTATTAATAATTATAATTATAAATATCAAAAAACTTTTAAGTGAAGATTTCCCCTGGTCCAATGTAGCAGGTGTAGATTAAAAAAAAAAAGAAATTAATTTTCAGATACTGTATGAAAGAGGGCATATATCCCAAAAAATGCAGCAAATCTTCAATGGTCACCTGACGTCTGCTCTCAAGGAGGCCTTGACCTCTGGTACTGAATTCTGGGATAGCTCCAAGACCCTCAAGTTTTTATCTGAAGGAGACTATTTCCTTCCTGGAGGAGAGAATAGTGAGAAATTTCAGTGGCCTCAGGCAATCAAGGCTATGATATCTGAGAGTAAGTTCTACATTGTTTTTTTCAGTATCAAATCTCTTTCATTTTTGAATTTTTTTAAATTGATTGATTTTTAATTGTGAACATCTTTTGTGATGAATTCTGAGTCTAGTGATACATAACAAGTGATTAAAACAAGTAAATGGAGAAATTTTAATGAATTTAATGAACATGTATATAAAGGTCAAGCTGTTTAATGCTGCTGTATTCTCTCTCTCTCTCTCTGTGTTAATGGAGGTTTTTTTGTAATTTTCTTTTATGGATTAGTGCTATTTGTTAAATTGTATTGTTTGATTTCAGCTGACAGCTTAGGACTGACAGCCTCTGATGAGTATGAATTAGCAATAAAGGCATTAGGTGCAATTACTTGGTAAGATATCATGATCTGTCTAAAATGTTTATAAAATAGCAGATATACCTTAATTTTTTCCAAGACTTTCCAAGTTGTCTCTTTTGTTTCATATCTTCTCTCTTCATCAATTGTGTGTTTGTTTCTTCCACAACCTATTCAGTTATGCCAGTTAATTTTTTTGCGGTAAATAGTTCTTAAAACAGTTCAAAGCTGATGCTGCAACACCAACCTGAGGGAGTTGATAATATGAGTTTTACAGTTTAAGTTTTAACTGAAAAAGACCAAAAAAAAAAAAAAAACAAGTATTTTTGTGAAACAGGCACAAAATATTATATATACTATAATGTGAGATTTTGTCTTTGAAGCTGAGAGCATTTATCCCATTTGACTAGATGAGAGACACACGTATGATGCTTATTACTTTAATATTGACAGGTATCTGTGCAGGTGTTGCATAGACCAAGAACTGTTGTCTATGAAGCAGTTTGAAGAGTACACTCCTCTGGATCAGAAACAGAACAAGAAAGGAGTGGAGTTTGCATCGGGGAAACAGAAAATGGTAATGATGAAGTAGTTTTTTCTGTCTGTTTGTCTTTCTTCCTCTTAATCTTCTTTTTGTCTCTATAAGCAAAATAATTGCATGTAGTAATGTTCTATGCATTTTAGTTATCCAGTCATATTTTACATAAAAGAAACGTAATAAATCTATTACTGAACTTACAAATTTGTCTAGTTGATGATATTGTGTCTCCTTCTTGGAGACTTCAGCCAGTCTACTGAGAATAGATTACGTAACAAGACCGAGAATAATATATCAGTTTTCTCAGAGGACCAGCTGAAGTCTTCGAAAAATGTACACATATTTGATAATTTTGATGGAATTTTTTTTTACCACTGCTCAGGTGCTGGATAGCGTGACCCTGTTCAATCTGGAGGTGATGGAGAACAGTGTCACTGGGACCACAGAGGGCACCTTGCTGGAGAGATTGGACCAGTGTGTCACGCCATTTGGTGAGTTCTCCACACCTTCTTACTCAGGGGCGGATTTAGGGCGTCTTCTGGGTCTTCCGGAAGACGGTCAGATTTTCAAGTTTACATTGACGGGTATCTATTTTTTTCTGTCGGAAGACGGTCAAAAATGAAGAACGGATCAACAGAGATAATTTGGAAGACTGTCAAAAAATATCTCTGAATCCGCTCCTGTAACTCCCCCCCCCCCGCTCCTCCCCTTTCTCCTTTCTCGCCCTCATTGTCAAATTCCTTGTAAACACCATAGTTCTACTTTCCTTTAGGTATTCATAATCATTTTTTAAATAATTGTACAAAAAGCCAACTTTTATTATTGTAGGAAAGAGGCTGTTCCGTCAGTGGCTTTGCGCCCCCCTCTGCAATCCGTCTGCAATTGATGACCGTCTTGATGCTGTAGAGGACCTAATGGCAGCACAAGATGTTGTAACTGAAGTGATGGAACTGATGAAGAAATTGCCAGACTTAGAAAGACTTCTCAGCAAGTAAGGATATCCATCCCTGACCATAATTTTGTATTTTTAAAAGATGAGGCCTTTTAGTTTTATTATTATCATTTATTTCAATATATTTTATCTCACTTTTAATGTTAGGTTGTAACCTTCTTTTTATCTTTGTGATTATTTTGTTTGAACAATTGTCAAGTGGGATTCCTGTCGTTATTTTGGTTAACAATCATCAAATGGGATTCCTGTCCTCCTTATAGAATCCACACCTTGGGTAATGCCAGCAGAAGCAAGAACCACCCTGACAGCAGAGCCATCTTCTATGATGATGTCACCTACAGGTAAAACTCATTATAAATACCCACATCTGTGAGCCACAGGATGAGCTGCTTGTAGTTTGCCATAACAAGGGTATGGTGAAAGAATTGTGCTATGTAGATTGATCTAACTACATAGTTGCTGAACGTAATCAGATTAACTACATGTAAATGGCACTCTTTAGTTTAAGGACCTAGGAGGTTGTTTACTTTTCTGTGCCTTGGCTTCTGGAAGTTTTTTTTTCGCTTTCTTTGAAGTGCAACGGAAAACACAAGAAAGTTTATCACCCACTAGCCACCGGAAGAGGTGTGTCATTTAGTTAATCTGTTTGCATTCAACAGAGTTGGATTGATCTACATAGAATGATACTTTCATTAGGAGCACACCCTAAGTTACATTAAGCAAATACATGTGTATATCTGTAGTAACTATTAAAATAATGCAATTATGATTTCTCTTTTTTACAGTGTTAAAAATATAAGATATATCAATTCAAGAACAATTCAAAATTTTATTTTATTGTTTTGGATAATTCTAATAATATTAATGATTGATGTTTTTGCAGTAAGAAGAAGATTGAAGATTTCCTTGCTACTTTAAATGGATTCAAAGCAACACAAGACATTGTCCTTAAATTTAAAGGCAAAGGTCAAAATTTCAAGTAAGTTGTAAGTTTTTCTAATGTTCTTTACTGAAGATGTAAGTTTATTTTCATTTTCCATAGCTAGTAAGATAACATAATTTAGTTGTTTTACGGGGATGGGGGGTTACTATCAGTCATTTTATAGAGGTAGGTAAGGAAAACTGAGTAAGCCAAGTTAAATATTAAAAAACCGGTAGTATTCCTCAATATTACATGGTATGCAGTCTTTTTTTTTCAATTATTTTGTTACCTCTGTAGAATTTTTATGAGTTTGAGCCCCATATCTCTAAGTATGTAACTTGACATTATAGGTCAAGACTCCTGAGGCAGTTGGTGACAGTGCAGAAAAGTGACACGAGTAACTCAGCAAAGTTCCCTGATCTGGTGGAGAAGTTGCGTTTCTTTGATGTGAGTAGTTTTAATTTTTCTCATTTTCAAGTATTATATAATATTTCACATGGCAGTGTTTTTTTCTGTGCTCGATCTGTGCATGGTGATTTCATTATGTACATTCAAAATCACTGTCAGACTAAATCATTGACTCATATTAAAATACATATTCACAGAATTTGGTTTATAAAATTATACAGTTATTTCACACCTGTTTCTACCTGTAGCAAGCATTTGACCAGCAGAAGGCCAAGGCCCAGGGGGTCATTGTCCCCTCCAAGGGGGTAGATCCCGAGTATGACCAGTCCCTGGATGATATTAAGTCCACTCAGGCCAAACTGGACACTTATCTTGACCAGCAGAGACAAAGGCTTGGATGCAGGGTAAGGGTTGGATAGGATTGATAAAGTTAGCAGATCAAAGTTGGTCAATTGTGTGTGTGTGAGTACAAATGGTATGTACTTGTATGCTGCAATGTTAGTTATAGGGATTATACCCAAAGATGGAAAAAATTAAATTTATATGCAATATCAGATTTATTAACTACAACTATTAGTAAGATTGGTAAGTAAACATTTATGCTTCAGAATGATCACTTTTAGAAAATTTTAATCTTAAAATATTTAGAAGACTGAATTATTTATTTAATAAGTCCCCAAAAGAGCAACAAAAAGTATGTACATTTCAAGGAAAAATTCACACCTCGTGTATCAGATTTGAAATGCGGAAACATTTACATGTATATGTGATTAAAACAAATGTAAACACATACACAATGACAGTACATAAGGATAAAGAAATTGCTAATCGTGCTTATGGGGTTTTATTATTTCAGTCCTTGCAATACTGGGGTACTGGCAAGAATCGCTACCAGTTAGAGGTCCCTGAGGGAGTGCTCCAACGTGTCCCAGACGAGTATGAGTTTGAGTCCCAGAAGAAGGGATTCAAGCGCTATCGCACCAAGAGGATCATGGGATTGCTAGCTGAAATGGAGGCCGCGGAGACCAGGAAGGTGGACGCACAGAAGGACTGCATGAGGAGGATTTTTAATAGTTTTGACGAAAAGTAAGAAATGATTTTTTTAAAAATTAGTCATTTCTTAAATATTTGTATTTGTTCTCTCTTTGATACTGACAAGAATGGCTTTTTTCACACATTATGCTGTAAACCTTTTTATTTATTTTTTGCTAAGAGGTACAAATAATAATTACAGTAAAGTTTGTTTAACAATACTGAGCTGATTTAGCAGTTTTAAGTTTGACTTTAATTTTATGGAAACAATGTACGTCCTTCAAACTGGGCATGAGCTTTTTGGTAGACTTTTTCCAGAATTACAACCTTCACTCACAAGGCACTATAATTATATAATCATCTAGCATAGTCATAAGAGATAACATTCAGTTTCATTTGACCCAAAGGGACATTTAACACCAGGCTATCACCAATATCACTTGTGATTTAAATATATTTCCAGTTACACTAGCTGGCACTCCGCTGTACAGTGTATGGCTGTACTGGACGTGTTAATCAACATGGCCGCCTACAGCAGATGTGGAGATGGGGTCATGTGCAGACCACAGCTAGTACTCCCTGAGGACCAAGACCAGGTAGGCACGAGATGGACGATCATTTGTCGTTGCTATGTATGCACACATTCACACAAACACACTTCCAGTAAGAGTTCATTTTTGTTTGCAGAGTTTGATCTCTGATAAACAAGCCTTGAAGGATGCATTCCAGGGAATGTATCCATTTAGTTGCCAGTGCTCGGGAATTCCTCAAATTTGTCTTTAATATGGTAATAGAGGGGGGATCACAACAGAATGTTGTTGCTAATGCTTATAGCATAGGCCCACTCTGGCATATATAGATTTGCAAAGTACTGAAGCTAAGTCTCTGTTCACGACCAAGTTGAGCCAGGCATAACTGAGCTGCGGCTCAAATATAACCCATATGAAAGCATGCCACATTAGCCCTGCAGGATGTGGGAGGCAGGGAATCTATTAGGGGATTAGAGGCATTAGATATTTCCAAGTGCGTGCCGTATTTGAGCGGCAGTTCAGTTAGGCCATAGCTCAACTTGGTTATGGACAGTCTAAGATATTCTCTACTGCTTATGTAAATGTACATCACAATTTGTAAATTGAGTATCTTCATTCTTGTAATGATTCTTTTTTTTTATTAACTATCTAAAACCTTCTTGATTTGGCAGCCATTTTTGGAGTTGAGAGAAGCTCGTCATCCATGCATCAGTGCCACCTTCAGTGGGGGAGACTTCATTCCAAATGACACAGTGATTGGCTGTCACGATGTATGTGAGATTTTTCTTTGAATAATGTTACAGTAGCAAAATATGGTTCACATCACAGTTTCCCGTCAAATCAATCATAAAAATTAATTTCATGCAGTTTCTTTTAAAATAAGTTTTGTATTTTTAAACTGCAGCATGTCGATTGAGAGGTTAAAGTGAATTTATTTGAATGAATTTTTATAATTCATGAAATTTGTTTTAGGACAACGCCATGGAAACAGATGGCATTGATCACTCTGACAGCAGTATCGTCCTGGTAACAGGGCCTAACATGGGGGGAAAGTCCACTCTCATGAGACAAGTTGGTGTCATTGTCATTATGGCTCAGTTGGTATGTGAAGTTCACATCAGGGTTGTTCGAGGGGGATTTGATATTTGGAGAGAAGGGGAAAAGGCGTGGGACGGAAATCTCTAATGTTCAAAAACATTTTTATGCTGAGTAAAAATAGTGTGAATGTATAGTTGAATCCTTAGTATACACTTATAGTTGTGAAGAAATTTTGGTGGTAGGTATTTCTGTTATAAATTTCAATTCCCTTAACTTAAATTGAGATAACACATGTTAGCAGAGAAATGCAAACTACAGGCTGTCTGCCAGACTTTTTTTTAACACTAAGTTTACCCCTATCCGCAGGGTGTGTATGTCCCAGCTGAAAAGTGCAGGCTTACCCCGGTTGACAGGGTGTTCACACGACTTGGTGCCAGTGACAGGATTATGTCAGGTATGCATTGGTTCTAAATTTTATGGAATGTTTGTCAATTTAACCAATTTTTTAAAGTGGAAATTAATAATAATAAATTAACATGAGCAATGGGAAGATGAGAAAATTGAACCTTTTTATTTTCTTTCATAATTTTATTATTGTTCTGGTAGACCATTTGCTATTTGGCTGACAGTAAAAAAAATGTAGGTGCTTGAACACACAAACAGACACGCATGCACATGCACGCACGCACACACACAGGAATGAATGAATAATGTTAGTAATTAAATATTTTAAACTTTTTAGGTGAGAGCACATTCTATGTGGAGCTTAGTGAGACTTCAGCCATCTTACAACATGCCACACGCCATTCCCTCGTCTTACTGGATGAGTTAGGTAAGGTTTAAGCTGCTTTGGCATTGTAGCAAGTCATTTGTCAAAAATAAATGAAGTATGGTGTTTCACTTCAAGATTCATTTGCTATAAGGATTTCTAACCTTTTCTTCTGTATTGTCCCCATTGTCAAAGTGTTGTCCATTTCTGTTTTTTGAAGAGACATACTAGGGTATACATGTACATTGCAATTGTGAGACTGTGATTTCTGTATATTATCATTTTGTATAAGTCTGTTCATCAAAACATTCTTTTGGATTATTCATGATCCTAAACTCTGATGTATGACTTAAATTTTCTTAATTTTTTTCGTGAGAAAATGAAGAAAATTTAAGTCATACATCACCAATTCAGTCAACTCATTTTGTACTTGACCTCTTTCAGATTGACATTATTGAAATCATATTTTTTTAGAACATTGCTCGTGATTGAGAGTTGTAATGCTTCTTTAGATTTAAAACAGCTCTCCTTTACACATTTTTAGTATTCCTAGTTCTTTTTTCAAGAATGTCCGTATGTCCTTGTGGTAGATCTACCTGCAACAGTTGATTTTTTTCTTACAGGGAGGGGCACAGCAACCTATGATGGCACTGCTATTGCATGCGCCGTAGTGCGTGAGTTGTCACAGAACGTGCGCAGTCGTACATTGTTCTCCACTCACTACCACTCATTAGTGGAGGAGTTTACACACGATCCAAACATCAGATTGGGGCACATGGTAAGAAAATTCTACGGTTATTTTTTTTGTGTGTGTGTGTGTGTGTGTGTGTCAGTGTGTGTTTGTATGTGTGTGTGTCAGTGTGTGTGTGTGTGTGTCAGTGTGTTTGTGTTTGTATGTGTGTGTTTGTGTGTATTCTGGTATTAAAAACAGTATGATAAGGCCAGAGAGGAAGGAACACTTTCAGTTTATCACAGAAGGGGGCGCCATAATGCAGTGTATTACTATAATTTGAGAAGTGCAGCTTTTTTTTTCCTATCTGAAGCCTACAGAGGTTCTAAAAATGAGTTATCAAGGATCCACAGGCACCAAATATACTTAAAGCACAATCTTATTTATTTATACTGTTTTACTTATTTATTGCTACTATTTTATTTTTTCATACAACTCATTATTTTTCTTTTGATTTCAGGCCTGTATGGTGGAAAATGAGAATGACGAGGACCCCTCCCAGGAGACCATTACCTTCCTCTACAAGTTCGTGTCTGGAGCTTGTCCCAAAAGTTACGGCTTTAACGCTGCCAGGCTGGCCGACATACCTGAACAGGTATGTTTCTCTTCACCCATATTGCCCCAAAATTTATGGTTTTAATACCGCCATGCTGGCAGATATACCTGGAGAGATGTGCACACAAAATTTTGTTTCTTTTTACCCTATATTGTCCCAAAGGTTATTGTTTTAGCATGGTTATTCATTTCTTTTCTTACTATAATGTCCCAGGATCTTACCATACCAGGTGATATGTCTGTACAAATAGGCTGTTATGTTCTGGAAGTTGTGATTTTAACATGTTGGGACCAAGTCTCAAGATAACTTCCTCCATAGAACCTTGTAAAGTAGGTCAAAGTGATTCATGGTGTAGATGTTAAGTGTACAATTTTTGGGAAGTATTAGATCATTAAGTCATTAATAATGAACTTATGAATTTAATTTAATATTCTTTCAGATTATAAAAGTTGCCAGAATTAAAGCACAGGAGTTTGAGGAGCATGCAGACAACCTCAAAGTTTTCAGGTATATTTTTTACATTTTATTCCATTATAGAAAATCTGTCAAACATAATTGTAGAAGGATTTGAGAAATACCATATATCCCTTTTTTATTTATTTTTATTTTTTATTAATTTATTTTTATTTTATTTATTAATTAATTTATTAATTATTATTTATTTATTTATTTTTTTTTTGCATAAAAGATGAGGGAAGATTTTCCCATGCTGCTGACTAGCTCATAATAAAATAAATTGAGTAACACTGGAAGACAGAATGTTATAGGGCACAGAGAAATGAGTGTCAGTGACCGGATGGGCTGATAACATGACATTATTATTTAAGATTATAATTATTATTTATTTATTTTTAATTTTTGTAGGAACATCTGCAGTACAGATGAAGCTCTTGGAAAGGACAGTCTGATTTCATTACAAAACCAAATCCAAGTATCTTGAAGAAAGTTGACTCTAATAGAGGAAACATTTGTTAATGTGCAGCCACAGTTGCCAAGAACATTATGCCATTGTTTATACTAAAAGGATCCAGTTGACTGAAACACTTGAGTAACATACAATATACTGGAATAGAAAAAGTATCAGAAGACAATTAAGCAATTAGCTAGAAATTGTAGTCGGCAAATATTTGCCTTTAAAAAGTTATTATTCAGGAGCAAACTCTTGCAGAGGTAGTGGTAGAGGTACTGTAAATTGCTGCTGCTTTATGAATGTATTAGATTTTACTCAATCTGTGAGAAAAGTAGGCAGAAAAATTGGGATCCAGTCTGTCGATATGCTGATTAACTTTGTATTTCTTGCCATTTGAATTAATTATGAAATAGCAGATCAGAATGTATTGTTAGAAATTTGGTTAGTTGGGAGATTTGTCTGACCTGTTCAAACACTTAACCAACCGTTAATACATGATCATGAATTGTGTAAATGTATGTGAAAATTTGGGTTCATTTACAGCAAAATATTTGCATACAGTTATCAATTTGATATTTGATACAAAGTATCATTTAGTATTTGAATGCAGTTCCAATTCTCTATATTTGAAGTTCCACAATTACTTGTATGTTTTAATGCATCAAACAGGGATAAAAAACGGCAGAAAATACATGTGCGATTACCTTTCTGTTGATAAATCTCCACGTTTTACTGATATTCAGTTGCTTTGGACATTCTCTGCATAATACTTTTTGTCCAATTTATATTAGAGTACTTCCAGGAGTAGGTAGTACTGTAATTGAGCAGTTACAACATTTATGACATTGGTAGAATAAACCATTTATTTTGAAATTTACATGCTGATTTCTGTGCATTGACCCTGAATTTTAATTTTCCCATTCCGACTTTCTTAATTTTTTTGCTGTACAGCAAGATTGTCAATGCAGCGTTTGTATAGATGTGCAGAAACCGTTGTCACTACTAACGCATTTAGCCTCTTCGATGCCCGCAGGATACACGCTGCAAATGATAAACAAAAACGCAGCGTCGCGTGGCACTCCGTGCGTATGAGATTCCAAATCACTTAACGCGCCGGCCGCAAGATGGCGGCAAGGAGTCGTTGGAACGCTGTCTGGATACCGATCTTCTTTCTCAGTTTCCACAACTCGGCAGTAACTTGTAGGAAAGGCGAGATCTACGAGCACTTTCTGACGTCGTCTGCTCGGGGTGAGAAATTTATTCATCATGACATGTTTATGATCAGCTCCCCCGACATTCTTACGGGAAACACCTCAGCTTTCATTGAATATGTATTCAACGGAGGAGAGAAACGCGCTACAGCAGCCGACGGTCTGGAAGATTTTCTGAGAGATTTCAAGGAGCTTGGAAACACCAGTAGAACTGTCAACGAGAATATGCTATTGAAAACGGGAAAAACCAATGGCAGATTCGGCGAGGAAATTCCCTCGCGACTTGACGAGGGTAATCTGAATGAAACTGCGCTGTGGGAACATCGTGGCTTGGCAGTTGATCCAAGCGAACTTCAGGCGCCGGTTGATGGAAAGGGTATCAAGGGTAGTGACACCCGCAGTTTTAAAGAGGAAAAACCATCAAAATATAGCGACTTTAGAAAGGGAAATGCGACCTCGGCGATGAACTTAAAAAGCAATATAACAGGTGATACAGAGAACAGCCAGTACAACCGAGTCCAGATGGAGAATAATATTTTATTTAAGATCATAAACAGAAGTGGAAAACGGAACCAGACAGGCAGCAGTCAGAAACTCTACACTCTGCGGTTTGTTGAAACAGAAGGCAGAGAGCATGGATCACACAAGCGCGTAGGTGATGTCGTCATGGCAACTGCTACTAGAGGTCATGGCAGACGGAAACGAACACCGGGGAGACGTAAGTTTTTTTTTCTTTTTTTGTGTGCGAATTTAATTAAGATTTTCTGAAGGCAAGCGTCTAGGTCTTGGTGCCATCGCAACAACCATTTACGAAAGTTTGCATTTATTTTGCTCTAGAATTCAAAAAGTATAAGCTGTTGGTGTTTTGACCGTGAAAATGAAATGAAAACAATAACATTCACGCTACTTATACTAACGGCAACCACGAAAAGTAATGCATTAGCACTTTGATTTTCGTTCTTAAAATGTATATTATGTGCCAATAAAGCAGATATAAAAAATCAATACAAGTGCTAACAGATGATTATTCGTGCAACGTAACAGTGTTTTGCACTTTCTTTTTACGCTTGACGCTGCGCGTACAATGTAAAAACAAATCCATTTCCCTTAATGCGTTGAGTGACTTCGTTCAGTAAAAAGTAACTCGGTCAATGGGAAATGTCGGGTTAAGGGAATAGGTAATATCTGAGGAAAAATACCCCAAATCTTATCACAATCACAATCAAAGTATGTGTCACAACAAACGCAATCATTGTGAATGCTGCTGACGATAATTCTCAAAATTGTATTAGCTGTGTAAAGAGATTTGATTTCCCGCTAGTGTCTTCACCTAGCTGGAAACGCACTTGAGCTTTCTACTAAAATAGTTCAATTTCTATCCTAGGTTGCTGGATGGACTGCATATGGCGATGGAAATACGGTTTTCTCAAATGCGGTTTTTATGACAAGCTCACCATGTGCGGAGGCGGGGACTACATGGTCCGATACTATGACGTAGCCAAAACCTACCACGCCCACTGTTGGCCAGGGAAGGGGTCATACGGAATTACCCGAAACAGGAAATTCATCTGGGTGTATAAATGCGAAGGGAAGTTTGTCGTGAAGTATAAGAAGTATCTTGGCTGCAAGCCCGTCTGCTATTGATCGCCGTACATGTGTTTGAACGTGTGATGTCACTGTGCCGTGTGACGTCATTATTTCAAAGAATAACCAGGAAAAAAGTGGGAACTGTTGTCCAATGCACAGTACCGTTTAGATTATAGTGCTTGATGCTTACTGATGATACGTAAATGATATTGCACACTACGAATGTTTTATCTATTCTTTAACGTTGTCTAATGAATGTAAGATTTGGTTTCAAATCTTTGATAATTTAAAATCAACTGTTTGTATTTAAAGACAGTAGCAGTAGAAGCAGCGGTAGCAGGAGAATGTCCGTCGGAAGCCGACGATGACGATCAGTTCTGTGCATGACTCGTCATGGCTCCGCAGCCCGAAGTTAGATGCACGTAGGCGTCCACATAGAACCTTCGGACCAATGAACCCTTGATTAAAAAATCGATGAAAATGCTACCACTTTTCGGACCAATGAACCTTCGGACTATCGAGACGCCCCCGCGTCCACAGCGGTATCTTCTATCGGGACCAAAAAGAGAGTTTTCACCAGACATTCACATTTATTACAGGTTATTCAATAGCTGTGCATTTATTTTATCCTAGAGGGGATTTTTGACCGACAACTCATCACCCAGCTGTTTCACGTAGAAAATTTCACAGCGGCTTATATATATAATTAGCTGGAGGAAACCGGGTCCTGTGGCGTTAGTTCCTTGCGTTTTATTATATCGACAATGAAAAAACACTGGTTAACTTATTAATCTTAGCTTTATTTAACGAGTTTTTGAAAGCTCATATATGGCTTTTGATGCTCTGAGCCTAAGCTTTAATTGTTTAAGGTAAAAAACATAGGAACCCTGCATTTTAGCAAAATGTTTTCATATCTGCAAGATAATTGAAATAATAAAAATAGCATATCTTCAATAAATTAATGGTCCCATAACTCTGTCGTTTTCATAATATATACAACTATTATAAATACATAAAATATTTTTAACGCAAATTCTTAGTCCTAACACCTTCTGACTGCATAGAAATTCACTATTTTTTATTAATTTGACATTAAAATCATTGGTTATCAATAATATCTTAATGGTTTTACATAGTAATCAAAATAATTATATTTGGTGCAGATAAATAGAACATGTACATAGGTAATATCATAAAGACGCTTTGTGCAATAGCACCTAGGGAATTGTTGCTGTTGTCAACTCTGCAATGATGTGTTACATAATTATGTGAGTATGGATTTTTGTTTTCCATACTTAAAAACATGAAGAATGCATATCTTTAGTGAAATAATAATAATAATAATAATAATAATAATAATAATAATAATAAATATGCTGTGGCAGATGATAAACGGTGTACAATTTTTTAAAATTAATCTCTCAGCTCCCAATTCCAGTAATTAATAACTGTACAAAACTTTTGAGTATCCCTCCCCTTCACTCCTCCTTTGGAAGGATGTATCTTTCCCCTATAGTGTTATATCTATGAGTCACATACTCTCTGAAGGCAAGTATGTGCCTTGTTTGCATCCTAATACTTGCAGTGTATTGAGTGCCAAACAAAACTTTAAAAATATATATGTTTGTGGCATTAAATGATATGTTAAATGGAATATTTAGTGTCAACATAACAATTAATTATCCAAAATGGAAAATTTGATTTAAATGCATAGGATATATAAAGAAAAGTGTGTGCTGAAACAGTAATTTAATATTAAATAAGTTAACCTAAAAAACAAAATATTTTCTCGGGGAAAGGTAGCAGTAAAAATGGACGGAACTAACCCTGTAAATTTTGACTTAGTGCAGGTGATCATGTATAACAAGTAAACAAAATACACATAAAATAAAATTTGTGGTTTACAAATGACACACGTTTAGACAAAAATACATCGTTGTAATAACTGAGGTGGTACAATGCTAAAGGCATTATTATTAAACAATGACATGAATGAATAAAATACAAAACCTACAAAAAGAAGAATTCAAAACATTTTCATTCATCTCAAACAGTATTGTTTTAATGATTTCAATGAGTCAAATAACAATTAAATCAGTAATATCACCAGTGGCTCGGTATTTGCTGCTGCCTCTAATAAATATGGAAGGATTTATTCACAACCTGTAGAATCTGGTAGTCAAGAGCAACATGACAAGGTCAAGGCATATGTAACAAGGTCAAGGCCAAAAAGACCAAGGTTAAGGTCAAATAAACTTAAAAAACAATACCCACTGAATCTAAATGGCTTGCAGATTTAAAACTTAACCATCAAACTAATTAATAAACCCTAACAAATCCATGTAGAACATTTGTTCACAATTAAAGAAATAGTTCTTTGACACTAAAACTAAAGATACAAACAAAGAAAACACCACCAACAACAGTGACTTACAAAGACAATATTTAAACATGAAACAGGTTTATACTTTTATTGACCATTTTGACATTCATGTTATTTTAACTGCTCCTCCAGTCACTAATAATCATGTCTGCACTAGCATGCAATAAGCTTGGTTGCAAAAAATAATTAAATTGACTTTGGCTGACATTATATAAATAAATGAATTTAAAAAAAAAGCAAAATGAAAGCATTGCTGCAGAAGCTATAAGTTTACAATCCTCAAAAAAAAGAAAGAAAAAGAAAAATTAACAAACAAAGCAAAGGAAAGGTGAAATACAATATCAGTACACTTATGCTATGAACCTAAATAACCTGAGAGCCTGCCACTACCACTGACTGGCCCTGTATTGCTGTTCGCACTCCCTAAAACTGGACCATTATGGTTGACCTGTCCCAGTGACTGTGACCTCAGTGGAAAATATGACCTCCCTGGGGACTGTGGCATCATATTAGTCTGTGAACTCACAGGCAATTGTGACATCATATGGGAGAGTGACCTCACAGGTGACTGTGACCTCACAGGCGACTGTGACCTCATATCTGATTGTGACCTCACATCTGATTGTGACCTCACAGGCGAATCTGGTCTCACGGGTGAGTCTGATTTCACGGGTGTGCTAGTTAAAAATGGAGATGGGGTCCTTCGTAAAAGTATGGACCCTAAGTCATTACCTCCATTTTGATTTTGGAAATAAGGTTTATTGGAAAACTTCGGGTTGACCTGAAATAAAGGGGAAGCTCTGCCTGAGATTCCATTCTCCAGACCAAGGGTGAATGGTTTTTGGTTATCCTGAAAGTAAAACAAAGACAATACAATACTTTTATACTGGTGCATCATGTCTGTTTAAGTTGAAAAAAAAAATACCAATGGCAACTTTCTGTTTTATTTCATTCCATTCTCAATTCAGTGTTTTATATTGTAAAGATATAGTCACTCAACATATTTCTACATAATATTTTTCTTTTTTGTTGTTGAACACTTTCAAATTTTACTACTTATTAGTAATTACATTTAAGTTAAAACTTGTCACCCTCTTACATTTTTCTCTTCCTTTGCTTTAAGCTCTTTCACCATCTTCTCCAGCCCTGCTCTCTGTTTGACCAGTGAATCTAACCTTGACTGCAGCTGGAAGTTCTCGTCTTCCACAAACTTCAACTTCACATCCAGTAGTTGAAGGGCCCTCCCCTTGTCACGGGCAAGTTCTTCATTTTCTGCATTTCTGAAATAAGAACACTTTCCGTTGTACGCTGTGGTGTATATGGTTTTTGGCACTTTACATCCAGTAGTTGAAGACCCCCCCCCTAGCATGGGCAAGTTCATATTTTTCTGCATTTCTGAGATATGAGCAGCCATGCTATTACTTTGAATTCAACATAGTACATATCACTGCTGAAGGTAAAGAAGGCAAAGCAGATCAAGTTGAGCCCAAATTCAATAGAGTGGCTGTGGACTGATATAATTTGGAGGCACTTGCTGCCATCATTGGTGTACCCAATAAATATTGACATTTGTTCAGAAAAAAAAAATGGTTTGAGTGGCCATTAAAATTGTCCTGGTTATGAATACTGGACTCTCAGTGTGACCTCTTCTCTGTCTGTCTGGCATTCTGTTTGCCTTTGTACTTGACAGCCATTTTTTTCTCTTTGGGTCTTTATACATGTTTAACTTCCATCACTATAAGCAGGATGTTTTAGGACTAATCAGAATTCATTTTCGGACTTCATCTTCAACTCTGTCTATCAGGAGGGTCTTCTCTCTGTCTTCTCTACTGAACCAATTCTTAACACCACTTACTGAGCAAGTAGTTCTCTTTTCTCCTGTAGCACCATTTTGTATTTGCTCTCCATCTTAGCCTTCCACTCGGCCTCTCTGGAGAGCGTGGACTGTGCCAATAACAGCTCGGACTCCAGTCGTTGGAGCTCGTCGCGAAGGCGCTGTTTTTCTCTCTGGAACAGCTCCCTTCAGAATGAGTGAAAAATATTTTGTAGGGTATGTACATAATATAACTGATAAAATTGGCAAAGGCATATAATGTAGTTCTTTGGCAAGGACACTTTTTGATCTTTTTTCTTCTGACAAGATTTAGTAAATTAACAGGTTTTGAAGCTTACTATAATAAGTTACTGAAGTTTCTCAGCCACAATAATGTGCTCTACTGTGAATCCTGAGACTTGAACCAGTTCCTCAATTTTTTTCATTCTTTAAAAAAGTTTTAAAAGTTTTTTGTTTTTATAAAATCAAACACAAGTTTTCAGAAAGAGCAAAAACCATCATGACAGTTCTGAAGTAAAAAGATTTTTACGATGTCATTTTAGATGTAGTTTAGATATTTACTGGTGCCTATGTTCATTGACACACGTACCTCGCATTCTGAAGCTTTGCCTTGTGCCTATTTTTCCTATCCTGGTTCTTCTTGGTCTGTGCCTGCAGTTTCTCTGATACTGAGAGGAGCTCTAACTGGAGAGTTTCAGTTTCTTGCTGAAGTTTTGCCGCCTGGCCTGCCAGGGTCTGCTTGCTTTGTTCTGTTAAGTGATGCTGTAAGGGAAATGTACAGTGTAAACCACTTCACCTGCTCAAGACATATTTAAACATAGGTCACTGGCAAGAAGTCAATAGGGATTTGAATGGACAACATGCTGTGTGCCTACCAGACAGCACAAGACTCACCATGTCATTCACAGACTTTGTCTCATCTTTCATGTTGTTCATTTTAGCCTCCACATCCAAAAGAGTGTGTTGTAATTCTTTATTCTTTGCCTGTAGCCTGGCCTCTCTGTCCTTAAGAGAGGTAACTTGCTGCTTCAGCTCCTCACAATTCTGTGTGGAGATTTGTCTAGAAGTAATTTAAATATAGATATTAATGCTTTGTTTATTCATTCATGTTGCCATAAAACTTTGCACATGCCATATCTACTTTAGTGCTTTTTAAATATCATTTTATTAAAATATCATTTGAATACCTGGTCAATTTGCTTGAATTAAAAAAAGAAATAAACATTTGGGTTTGGCAAAAATAAAAGTGACCATAACTTGACAAATTTCTGTCAACCTTAATTAATACAGTTACTGTGGTAGCCAATGACTTCTTTATAATGAATCCTGTACTATTCTAGAAAGAGGACATATAAATCAATAAACATCTAAACCACTAAATCTACGTAATTATTCCATATGACCCATAATCACAGCTGAGTCACCCTTCTCATTGTTCTCTCTCTCTCTCCGTGTGTGTTACTTACTTCTGTAACTTCTCCTCCTGTAAATTATTTCGCAGGCGAATTAGCTCATCCTTGGTGGTCTGAAGTTCCATACGAAGGACGGGGCCCTCGCGTAGCTGATGCTCAGCTGCCTGCAGGCGTGACAAGGCCTCTTCTAGGTCAGTTTGGAGCTCGTTGACCTGAAACAACAAGGTGAAGGTCAACCTAGAAATAGGTCAGTTTAAATATCAAGGTTAAGGTCAAATTGGACTGAGGTCAGCTGAAATGTCAAATAAATACATTGGAGGTCAATGAAATATTTACAATAAAAGAATTGAAATGGAACAGTTCTGCTTAAATAAATCAACTTTCTACTTTCAAATGTATTTCATAACAAAAAAAAACTATAGCTAGTAAATGTAGGGATAGATATAATATATGTATAAATTAAGTCAGAAGAGAGAAGAGGATGGGTGGAGTCACAGGTAGACAATATGTTTTCTCTCAATATTTCTGTGTGGTACACAATGAGAATAATCTATTACACTACTATACAAAAAAAGAATTCACACTTGACAACATTGTGCAATAATAACAAACAGACAAAACAATAAATAATAAGTAAATAATGGAATGATAAAAAACTGACTATGACATCACACACACACACACACACACACACACTAGAATTTGACAGCTAGAGCATCTTTCAAGCTTGAAATACATCTCCATTTCTTGGACAGCATAAATTACCAAGTGATGATGACAACTGTTACTAAAATAACAATTTAAACATGCCACATTCCCTCCACCAGGTTAGGAATGGCAATAGTTACTATAGTTAATCATGGCAGTGAAAATAAATATCAGTACACTTTGGTGCAAATAAGACACATTTAACAATATGCAACAAACAGCCCATATGAAATAATACAGTTCCCCTGGCTAAATAACATGCAATGTGAACATGCTGATATTATCAAAGCTGAGTACATGTTGGGGGGAGGGGAGGGGCTTATCCAAGATCCAGGGGGAAGGTAACCCCCCCCCCCCCTTCTCCCCTTATCTTCAGTAGTTGTAGAGTTCTCATTATGTTGGTGACAACTTTTAATGGATGAAAATTCAATTAGATGTGACAAAACAGTGCACTTGAATATATGTATCATAAATAATAAATAGTTGTGGGTGGGCACTTCTGTTATAACTTCTCATTCTTACATGTACCTCCGAATCTTCTCTGAGTGTGATACGCATGTTAATTCAGAAAAAAATTTAGCTACAATTTTAGTTTTCAATATATGAGGACAATATATGTGCATGTGTGGGAGGGGGTATGTACATGTACATGTGCACGTGTGTGTGTTCTCAGTTGTTCATTTCTCATGATTTTACTTGTAATCATTTTTAACCATGAATTATCAATATTACTGGGCACATAAATTGCAAAAACACTGATCTTGTAGCTGGTGTGTGCAGGCGTCAGAGCGCACACACACACACACAAATAGCCATATGTACGCATGTGTTTTCTTGCTGAAGAGACAAATACATAATATATAAGAAAATATAAATATAATTCACCTTGATGGTTCTATGATTTTCAGCAGTAAGCAAACAAAGAGGAAATGCCTACATATCAAAAATAAACAAGCAGACATTGAATATTGGCCCTTTCCCATTAAAATGAAATAGAAATGGTATTATCATACCGTAACAGTAAAAACTTAGATTAAATAAGACCATTTCAACAGAAAATACCAAAAGATATAAGACAACTCACCTGCATTGCCTGTCATGTTGAAAATTTGAGAAATTTTACAAACTTACATAAATACTAACACATAGGTAAATGAAAAGAAACTTTAAAGAACATTTAAAACAGAATGCCTAACTAAAAATGCATTTTTATACTATTTGCACATTGCATTCTAAACTGAAAGATTCATGACTATGCTATATGTAGTATACAAGTTATGAAATGCTAAATAAAGTTCTATGACACTTATGGAGACCTTTGAGAAAATATTATATTAATAATAATAGACTAACAAAAAGAAACACAAACAAATACGTTACACCAAAATTTGGATTTAAGTTTATTTTTCTTGAAACAGGCCCCCTTGTGACATCATATAGTGACTGCTCAAGATGAATTTTGTCAAACAAACTAATGCACACAAGTTCCATGGGGACTCTTGCTGTATGCAATCAAATCAACAGACTAACATGCCTCCTGTTATTTCCAACCTGCTCCTGGCCCCAGTTTCACAAAAAAAAAAAAAAAAAAAAAAAAAAAAAAAAAAAACTCCATGTCAGTGCTGTTACACTACTCATGATAGGATGAGATGTGCCCATGTGACCCTGTAACCTTGGTAATTAAATTCTCAGCCAGGGAACCTGACTTGAGATTTTTTGTGAAACCGGGGCCTGTAAACACCAGGTTTTCTATATTCTACACAACGCCAGGTGGAGGCATGTTAACCTGACTGCATTCAGTGCAAATCACCGTGGAGTTTGTGCACATTAAATAGGTCAACAAAATTCATTGTGAAAGGTCCCATACTTAAATTATTTCTGATATAATTTAGCTCTGTTGTGAACAGCACCCAATAGTACATTCTGCAATGCTTACCCTTCTCTCTGCATTCTCAGCCCTGTTGTTTGACATTTGGAGTTGCATGCTTTGGTCGCTGGCTCTCTGAGTAAACAGCATTTCTGTCTGTTTGGATACGCCACGCTTCTGAATAAAATCAATCAGAAAATAATAACATAGATATCATGATAATATATGTATAATAAAAAAATATATTGTATGCAGATAATCTAAACAAAAAGAATATTTTAAGGTCATTTTAGTGAGAAAATTTAACAATTGGCCATGCTAACCTTAAAGCTTAGAGTAATGATGTTGGTGTTCATGGAAATAACAAAAATTGTGGCAATTAGTCACAATTAAGTGAATAGAATCTGTCAGATATTCTTTGAGTCAACATACATGTAGGCGTTGACAAAGCTCCTTAAATCATTACAGACATAATATAGATATTATACCCTTTCTAATTCTTCTTCTAAAAATTTGTTGGCATCTTCAAGAAGTCTGACTTTTTCCAGTAATTCCTTCGTCTGATTTAGCACCTGCAATTGTCAGAATATGTAGTACTGGATTAAAAAAAAAATTTGGATACAGGACAACAAAAATGGCTATGTCTTTCTTTAAAAAAATAATATTAAAAGGTACTATGGAAAATATTTCCATAGACAAAGTAATTATGATTTGAAACAGAGCGACATGATGCATATTTTCATTATACCAAAAACATAAACAATACCAAGAAAAACGTACTAATAAAAAATAACACAAAAGTTATGATTAAATAAAATAATAAATTTTACTGACAGTCTCTCACCTTAAATCTGAGATATTACATCTCAAATTACCTTCTGACAAGTTTTGGTGATAAAAATAGAAACTTAGTTTTTTTGTTTTTTAAACTTAAAAAAAGTACTTTTTTTCACCTTTGTCATTTCCTGTTCCAAGGTCGTGTTTCTCTTCTCCAGGTCTGACCTTGACTTAATTTCTGTTTCAAGACGGAGCTCAGTTTTGCTTCCACTATTTTTAACCCTGTCTCTAGCTTCTTTTAACTCCTGTATTTCCTGCAAAAAAGAGAATGTATCCGTATCATTGAATGTGCAATCTTACATTATACAAATTCTATACTTTCTATACATCCTGTAATAAAAACATTACATTCACCTATAAAACCTTGATAATGATAGCAATATTCATATATTATCAATCTCGTTCTTCAGTTTCATATTTCCCAGGGCTGGCTACAATATTTATCTATACTTCTATAAAGCTAGTATCAGTCTAAGTACACAATTGACCCAAATTTGTCATCAGTGAACAGGCAGACTTACTGTTCAACAAAATAATCAACTAAATTTAATTTGTAGATAACCAACCTACACAAAGTAGATAACCTCCTTATATGAAAGGACACCGCTCCCCCAAGAAACTCTAATGTCAAATTTAAGGTATAAGAAACCAGATTCTCCATAAGACCCTGACACAAAAGCAACACCATGTTCCTCAAACTCTTCATCTAGTTAATTTTTCTATTCCTGTCTGCTGGACAAAGTCTATCCATTATCATAGCAAACACCTCAACTGTTACTACAGAAACCACTACATTACTTACAGTAAAGACCAATGTACAGTGTACCTATGACTGGGTTCCCATACCTAGATTGATCTAACAGGATAGGTCCTTCTCCAAGGGGTTTCTTGCCAAATTGCTTTCAGCTTAAGCGGCTTAGATGTTAATTACTCCCTATCAGCTTCAGTATAGGCGTGACAGACATCTAAGGTGGTTAAGTTGATTGCAATTTAGCGAGAATCCCCTAGGAGATAGATCGATCCAAAGTTAGTACAATAGGGTCTGGGAATTGAACCTATATGTTGACCTTTTTTGTTCGGTCTATCTATAAGGTTGACATAGCAGAGAACTGGTTTAGTTGAATACTTGCGGCTACAGCAGCAACATCAACATGCTAGTCATCGCATTTCTCCTGCAGTGCTTTGTAACTGCATGCATTGGTCAGTTATCCCCTAACTTGACCACTACCACCAAACCTCATGTAGTTACCAAGAGTGACCAGTGTGCCTACACACTGACCGTTCCTGCCCCAGACAAGACCTGTTCTGCTGAGGCCAAGAAGATAGCCAGTCTGGAGCAGAGGGCACAGAAACAGGACGCGGTCCTGCTGGCGATGCAGTCTAGTCTGATTCATGCTGAACAACAAATACGTGATCTTCAGAGGGTAAGTGTGGTTCACTTAGTTTATGATTTATTCAATAAATGATTTCATTACCTCAACAGTGATATTTGTTCTTTTATTGATAATTATTATAATTTCTGCACTATGAATTATGAATTTTATTTTGAAGCACAAATTTAAGAGTAACTGAAAAATCAAATTCTTTCTGAAAAATATATAATATTATGACAAAGCCGAACCAGTGCCAAATGCCAGTATAAGAAAACTTGAAAACTTATCATTTTAGAGAAGTTTTAGACAATATTCTATATAATTTTATTTCAGCAAATGAGGACACAGTCATCCAACATCCAAAGCCTCCAGAGTTTAAGCTCTCAGCTTCAGCAACAACTAGCCCAAACCCCCAAATTTCCAATCAGTAAAGAATATAAAGGTAATGTAAAGTTTAAATGAAATATCATCATTCTGATGTATCTTAATTCAATAGTCTTCAACAAAATATCCCTGAAAAAATTATACAAAAACAATCAAGGTAAATGTGGAGTATTCACTAGTAGAACCATAGTGACTGTGAATTCCCAAATTTACGTAATATAGCAAAATAATAAGAAAAGATGAACCAATTTTAAGAAATCTGTAACAAAATTTCACTTTACTAGTACCTTGAAAAGGAGACAAAACCAGACCAGTTTGAGTCAAGAATAACATAATATTATTAAAATTACCCTTTCTCTACAGATTGTTCTGAATACAGACTAGATGGCTATAAAGACACAGGTTTATATAACATTACACTGAGCCACGCCCTGTCTCAAATCACAGTGTGGTGTGACATGACCACTGACAATGGAGGATGGACGCTGATACAAAGAAGACAAGATGGCTCTGTTTACTTTTTCAGAGAGTGGGAGGATTACAAGAACGGCTTTGGCAACATCGATGGAGAATTCTGGTTGGGGAATGACGACATCCACTATCTGACCAATCAGAAATATTACAGGCTGCGTGTTGATCTGTGGGATTTTGATGGAAATCATAGACATGCTGAGTATGATAACTTCAAGGTGGACGATGAGAAGGCAAAATACCTGCTGCACCTTGGGAAATACAATGGTACTGCTGGTGATGCTTTCAGTTACCATAACAACATGAAATTCAGTACAAAATACCAGGACAATGATAAACATGTTGAAGGCAAAAATTGTGCCCTAGAAATCAATAAATCTGGATTTTGGTTCAATTATTGCGAATACTTTAATCCAAATGGAATCTATCATTTTGATCCTAAATACAGCAGTGATGAAACTATTCACTGGTATCAATGGAAACAGCGTTATGCCCTGAAGAAAGTAGAAATGAAAGTTCGCCCAATGCTCTTTCACAATTTCTAATGCTATACAATCCCTTCAAACATGCACTGTTCAAACTGATTTGTCCCAATTTACTGCTTTTGATTACTGAAATCATGTTTAGGATAATTATGATTTTTTTTCCATTTTTACATCAAACAACCTCATGTGACATGTGACAGGATAGTGCCCAGACAGCTTGTTGCTTAGACCCCAAATGTTGAGTAACATGCAACAAAGTGTTGGGCCATGCTAGAATAAGTGTTGGAAAAGCCCACATTTTGATCATCAGTCAGACCACCAGTCCACCAGCAATGTCTGCATTATTATGTCCATGAGCAGGCCACAACGCATGACTCATCTCAACCAGTAGCTTTGAGTCACCTCAGTGCTCCTTTGGTATCAGAAGACCCAAGTAAAAAGATAAAATACTTCTGAATTATTTCAACTTAAGACTTTGCACTAAATTTCTGAACGACTTGCGTCACAGGCCATGGGGGGCATGAAATCAAACCAAAGCTGGTGACTTTGAACCAGCAAAGTCATCTAGGCAGGTGAATAAATCTGAAAAAAGATAACCTTCAAAGATCTGGCTATCTATAAGATTGACGTAGCAGAGAACTGGTTCAGTTGAAAACTCGCAGCCACAGCAGCAACATCAACATGCTAGTCATCGCATTTCTCCTGCAGTGCTTTGTAACTGCAGTCATTGGTCAAGTATCGCCTAACTTGACCGCTTCCAACAGACCTCATGTAGTGACCACCAGTGACCAGTGTGCCTACACACTGACAGTTCCTGCACCAGACAAGACCTGTTCAGCTGAGGCGAGAGAGATAGCTGACCTCAAGGGACAAGTGAAGAAACAAGACATTGTTCTGCTGGCCATGCAGTCAACACTGCTCCGTGCAGAGCAGCAGCTGTCAGACCTTCAGAAGGTTGGTATAGTTATATATCAAAACATATCAAAAGAGGCAGATATAGTTCTTTTCTTTTCACTTAAATTAATAAAAGACTTTTAAGATAAGATAAAAATGTTTTGGCAGGTCCTTAAACATGCCATACATTGCAATATTCAGTGTATTTTAAAATTTCTTTTGGTCAAAAATTGTGAAATAATTGTCAAATTTCCAATACTTTTCAAATGTCTCTTTTAGGCAGTACAAACAAAACATTTTAATTGTGGGAAATGCATTCAAATGAATAATCTATTTTTAATTTTTAGTCATACATATCATGTAAAATGTTCATTCCAGCAACTGGCAGCTCAGTCTTCCACGATACAGAACCTTCAGACCATGAGCTCTCAGCTTCAGCAACAGATGTCCCAGAACATCAAGTTTCCAATTAAGAAAGAGTATAAAGGTAAGGTACAAAGAGTTTATTATTATAAACTATGATGAGCTTCTTATTAGATGAAGCAATGCAAATGGCTGGAAGATATATGAAAGTAAACAATGAAATGTAATTTAGAAAAAGCTCATCTTCAAAAAAAAGTAAAAAACAAAAGTCAAAAAATATCTAGCTAATATGGAAAAGACAGTGCAAACATTTGTCTATTCTTATTCACAGATTGTTCTGAATACAGACTAGATGGCTATAAAGACACAGGTTTATATAACATTACACTGAGCCACGCCCTGTCCCAAATCACAGTGTGGTGTGACATGACCACTGACAATGGAGGATGGACGCTGATACAAAGAAGACAAGATGGCTCTGTTAACTTCTTCAGAGAGTGGGAGGATTACAAGAATGGCTTTGGTAACATTGACGGAGAATTCTGGTTAGGGAATGATGACATCCACTATCTGACCAATCAGAAAGATTACAGGCTGCGTGTTGATCTGTGGGATTTTGATGGAAATCATAAACATGCCGAGTATGATAACTTCAAGGTTGATGATGAAAAGGCAAAATACCTGTTGCATCTCGGGAAATACAATGGTACTGCTGGTGATGCTTTCAGTTACCATAACAACATGAAATTCACTACAAAGTACCAGGACAATGATAAACATAGTAGTAACTGTGCCCTAACCTATACTAAATCTGGATTCTGGTGGAACAACTGTGAACATTTTAATCCAAATGGTGTTTATCATTTTGATCCTAAATACAGCAATTTTGAAACTATTCACTGGTATCACTGGAAACAAACCTATGCCTTGAAGAAAGTAGAAATGAAAGTACGACCCATGCTTTTTCACAATTTCTAAATCTGTATAACCCCTTCAAACATGTGCTGTTCAAACTGTTTGTCACAATTTGCTGCTTTTAATGCATGTTTACAGGTCAAAAGGAAAAATACTTAAATAATTTCAACTTTAGAATTTGCACTCAATTTTGGACCAACTTGTGTCACAGACCCTGGGGGGCATGTAATCAAACATTAGCTGCTGACTTCTGGACCACCAAGGTCATCCAGGCATGTGAATAAATCTGACAAAAGATAACCTTTTCTGTACAGTTTATCTATAAGGTTGACATAACAGAGCAGTGGTTCTCATGCTGAGTATGATAACTTCAAGGTTGAGGATGAAAGGCAAAATACCTGCTGCATCTTCAATGGCTTCAAATTCAATGGCTTCGCTGATAATGCTTTTAGTCAGCTTTCAGTTACCATAACAACATGAAATTCAGTAGTAAGTACATGTACCAGGAAAATGATAAATATGGTGAAAATTGTGTTTTAAACAACAGTCAAGTGTAAATTTCACTCACAGAATGATCACATTTACAAGTAATAATTCACTGTGCTTCAATCATCATGTTAAGTAGTCAATTATTGTTGGAACAACTGGATAATAGTGCCTTTTTTCAACAATGTTTTACTTGCACATGGATTATCGTAGTCGTTATAAACCTAATACAGAATTATTATAAAAGCAAAGCCTGGTCTTCTTCTTTTCCAACCTGTTCCAAGATAGCAATGTTTGGTATCTTTTTGACCACTTTAAACTTGTAATTACTAGTTAGTGGTAGGGTGAGGGGGCATAGGAGGAACTTGTACCCCTTCTTCCCACTTTGAATTTCCAATTTCAAATGTGCATAAGTGCCATATGAAGCAAGACAAAAATATTTTACAACCCAAGTACTTTTGCACCCTCCCACAGAATACAAGAAAAAAAAAAGCTTTAAAATGTATTTGGTAATAAGGATTTCATGTCAATCCACATCTCTTCCCCTCAGTATATACCACAGATAGTCTTGTGAAATGTGACATTTTGTGATATATTTGTTTACTTAAATCTTCCTAGTGTCTCGTATTGAGACTAAGACTGGGTTCCCATGCCTAGATCAATCTAACTGGATCGACCCATCCCCAAAGGGTTTCTCACTGAATTGCTGTCAGCTTAATCAGCTTATATGTCTGGCACCAAGCTGTTAAACGATAGTTAATTACCCTCTAACAGCTTCAGCGGGCGTGCAAGACATCTAAACCACTTAAGTTGATAGCAATTTAGTGAGAACCCCTTTGGAGATAGATCTATCCAAAGTTAGTATGACAGTCTCTGGGAATGGTCTCTAAAACATCCTAAGAGTCTGCAAAAGCAGGATTAGCTTTCATATTCTAATTGTTAAATTAATTCAGGCAACAAATGCACTTAAAACTATTTACTAATGATACAGTAATCTTTGATTTGTAAAATTTAAAATAAAATAGATCTTAAATAAATTATACCTCTTCTTTCTCCCTAAGCTGTGCATTCAAGTCCCCAGACTCTCTGTAAGCCTGCTCTAACTTCTTTCCCAGGTCCTCAATTTCTCTCTGGTGGGACAGCTTCAGCTCTTCCATCTCAGACCTTAGGGAACTGATGCCTGATTCACCTTTGACCTAGAAAAAGGTCAAGGTTACATCTTAATGGGTCAAGGTCATAATGAAATTTACAGGTCAAAAAATTAATTACTGTTACAACAGTGCCACTTAAAGAGGATATGCAAAAATGGAATATAACACTAGACAATATATTATGATACACTTATGCCAAACTACTTTTGATTTTAAAAAATCTACAGAAATTTATCTTTTAAATGCATCTGCTCTCTATTTCACATATTTAAACAAAAATAGAAACAACAAATGGATGCATCCACGGGTGCGCACACACACACACACACACACACACACACACACACACACACACACACACACACACACACACACACACACACCTTATCATTAGCGGCCTCTGCCTCCAGCTTGGTGACGTGTGAGTGCTTCATCCTGAGTTCCTCTCTCAGGTGGTCAATCTCACTGTTCAGTGTTCTAATTTCCTCCAGGGATTTTTGCAGCTTCTCGGCAGCTTCTGCTTCTGAAAATAATGTGAATAAATTAAACATTACTTCTAGGTAACTTCTTGTTTTATTTACCCATTTTCATTTATTGATATTTTTTTGGCAAGAGGATAAAATTATGTAGCACAAGAAAGGTTATATTTTTTGAAGTTTTTTTTTATCCCTACATAGTAAGCTACACTGCTTTGTATTTATATATGAGCAATGAACCATGGGTCATATCTACAGTACATATCTATCTTAAAATACCTGGTTTAGATAAAAATATTTTATAAAAAAATGCAATAATGATAACATGAAAATGGTTGATAAAAAATAATTCTGTGTCAAATTGATTTACCTTGTTGCTTCTCCTTTTCATTGAGCAAATTTTCTTTTAACTGAAAATAACATTAAAACTTCATTCATCTCACATTTGATAATCCAAATCAGTTGTGCTACAGAATGATGAAATCACAGTCAGCTGACTCTTTAGTCAACTCAGAATAATGAGCTTCTTGATCTCAACCCCAGAAAAAAAATCTCAACCCAGAAAAAAAATTAAATGATATACAAAAGATATAAAAGCTATAGAATATATTTTAGAATGTATTTTATGCCTTCTTTTCAAATTATAACTTAAAGTACAATTATTACCAATGTACCTTCCACTTTTTAGTTGAAAAAAGATTATGCATATTATTATCATTATCATCATCATCATCATCATCATTATTATCATCATCATCTTCATCATCATCAACATCGTTATCATCATCATCATCATCATTATCATTATCATCATCATCTTCATCATCGTCAACATCGTTATCATCATCATCATCATCATCATTATCATCATTATCATCATCATTATTATTATCATTAAACACACACCTTAGCAGCAAGTTCCTTATTGTCCCCTTCTAGCTGGTGTGTGACTTCTTCCAACATGGCCACTCTCTCCTGCAACTCTGTTCTCCTCCTCTCAGCCTCTTCCTGGCTCCTCTTCCAAGTCTCCAGTTCCGTGATCAGTTTGTTTTTCTCACTCGCCAGCTGGTCTCTGTCACTTGTTAGGCGCTCTGAGTTAGATGTAGAGTCTTTAAGCTTCTGTTCCAGGATTTCTATTTTGGCCTCCATTTCCTGCAGAATAGAATGAGCATTGTGGGATATTTATTATATTTTTAAGTGGTTCCAAACATGATTTTTTATCATGAAAATGCTAAAAATATTTTTTATAAAATTACCATTTATCATGATCATCATAATAACAATGAAGTTCCTGCAAATTTGCAATCTTTCAAAAACATCAAATAACTGAGATCATGCTTGGTGACTCAAATTGGCAAGATATTGTCTTGAATTTTGTCCATCCACAATTATAAACTCTAGTGACCTGGAAAATAAATTTTGATAGTCTTTTAAAGGAATGAATGAGGTGAAATTAAGAATGGTACTGACACCTTAATCAAAATCTGGTTTTGTGGCATTTAATTCACAAATAATCTGGACCTCATGTCTCAAAGCAATCCTTTACCCTGTTTGCTTGTTCCAGTTGCAGTTGCTTACTGGACATTTCCCCGGCTACACTGTCCTTGCTGGTCAGCTCTCTGGTCAGTCTGTCCTGGATGGATGTTGTCTCTGCTTTGGCCAAGGTCAACAACTAAGATGGTTACAAGAAAATGGGATATTAATGGGGTGGGGGAAGGGAGTTAAATCTATGAATATTATTTTTTCAAATATTAAACACTGACTTGGATTTTTTTTTATAACTTCATCAGCCAAAACAGTCAATGCTTAAAGTGTAAGTCTTTTTCAAATATAAAAAAAAAAAAAATAGAGTAAGTGATAACCCAACTACAAATAAATGTTATCTTTTCATCAATATTATAATAACCAATTACTTCAATCTTTCTTTGCAGAGAATGATATATTACAGACCCCAGTAAATACCTTTTCATAATTTTTTGTGGTATTTTTGACTTCATTTTGGGTTCTGGTCACCTCATCTTCCAGAGATTCCACTTTCAGTTCCATTGTTCTGAGCTGAATATAGGTTAAAATACAATATATATCAAAACCTTAAACACAATGGCTACCAGATATAAAGCATAATACTCATGACAGTAATAAAACTATCCTCAAAAAAAATATTGTTTTTTAATTAATTTAACAGTTCCAAACAGTTAAATATATTTCAAACTGTCAATTTGCCCTGACATTGATTGTACATATATTATAATATTATTTAATCGTTTGAATATAATATTTACAATTAAATATGCTGCAGTACGTGTCAGAAGATACACTGAAAAAGTTCAACTAATGGCTGAAAATTTTCAAAAATAAATCCTAGCTTGAATTTAAGAGAAATGAGTCTTCTCAGTATAAAGATAAATAGATATAGTTAGTAACCTTTGACTTGAGAGTGTCTTGCACTCTCTCCGCCTGTCGTTTCTGATCAGACAACATTTCTTCCGTGATGAGAAGTTTCTGTTCTGTCTCCACTTTTGATTGGTTGGCTTTGTTCAGGTTCAAAGTGGCGTTGGAGATTTCTTGTCTCAAACTCTTCAACTCATTTCGCTGGTCCTCCTTTTCTTTCCTGTGTCTAAAATTTCATGATCAAATAATAATAATAATAACAGCAACAACAATTATAACAATCTTTGCTTGTAACTCCTAACAGGATCATGCAAGTCATCCACCACACAAAAGATCCCGAATTTCAAAGCCAAGCCATAGGCATATTAATTCCCAATAGGATCCCATACTCTTACTGAGATTAAACTCTTTATTCTGTTTAAAGGTTACTGGGTTATCTGTCATGTTCCATATTTTGCTTTTTTTATCAAGACTGTGGCAGAAGATACCAAATAAGAAAAAAATATGAGGGAGGAAGGCCTATGTAAAACACTAGCAAATGTGCCATCTTCAAACTGGCATAGACAATTACACCATTGACAAATGTCAAAACTGCCAGCATTATTACAAGTTTCTGTTACTTTTAACTTAATCCAGTAACATCTTTTTTTTATTATTAATCTATAATCTATAAGTAGAAGAAGAGATAAATACTAGTAGTCTATAATTTTTATACATCTGGCAAGCTCCAATGTTGCATAGAATCTACAGTGCATTCAGTCTGACAATAATTAATTTTGGATACAGTTTTAACATTTGAATCATTGTACTCACTTTGCTTCTGTTTCTTGTACTGAGGTAGATAAAGTGCGCTAAAACAGACAAAAATAAATCACAGTTAATGTTCTGGTAGATAATGCTTTGAAAAAAATGTATTGTGTCAGGCCCGTAGCCAGGGGGGTTCGGGGGGTTCGAAAGAACAGCCCTTTTTGCTGGGAAAATGTCCAAGTTGGATAAAATGTGATTTAGGTACAAGAAGGTTTTATGGTAAAAGGTCCACTTTTTCAGAAAACAAACCCCCCATTTGAAATTGCTGGCTACGGGCCTGTGTGTATTTTGCAATAAAAGCACATGTTAATGAATGCAGTTCAGAATAATCATATTCTATTTGCCATGATGATAAGGAGAAAAAAGAACAGAACAGACAACAAAAATCCCTTTCTCTATATACTCACATTTTCCATGGAAAGCTCGTTATTTTCCTTCTTGAGATTTTCTATATCTTTCTGAGCAGAGTCCAACTTGATAGCCAAAGCGCTTTTCTCCACCTCTAGGTTCTGCTGTGTGATCTGTGAAGGGAAAAAAATCAAGAAACAAATTAAGAAATTTTAATGTAGTTCAATGGTGATGTATTGTGGTCTGCTATTGTGGCCATAGTAGGAACAGCTGCTATCACTTTTACTTCAGTTGCATCCAAGTGCTTTGTCCCCAGTGACCAAATATTAAGATTTCATAGTTTAATAATATCATGCCTCACTCCAAAATAGAAGTCAAACCTTTTTATTAATAGGTTTCACAACAAGACCAAAATAAAAACAAAATGGCAGTCTGACTGTCTCACCTGTAACTGTGAAATCTGTGTGCCTTGTGTGCTGACCTTGGCATTGAGTTCCAGCAGGCCGCTCTCTTCACTGGCGGACTTGTTTGCCATCTGCTGTCTCTCTTTGTCAAGATCCTCTGTCAGGATTCTTACCTTCAGAATATAACCAAATGTTGGGCTGTTGTTAGTTTTATTAAAAGAATAACAGTCTTCATCTGAGATTCAAAATTCCACAATAAATACATTGTAAACAACACACAGAAATATCACAAACTCCATTTAAACACCCAAATACCATCAAACCAGGTGGACCTTCATAGATGGCTACCCTCTTTAATTTTTAGACCCCATTCCCATAGAATTTAGATCAATCTATCCCTGTGGGGAGTCTCACTAGATTACTGTCATGCAGCTTAGCCGGCTTAAGCATCTGTCCCGCCTACTTAAAGCTGTAAGGCAGTAATTAACTATGGTGCGCGCTCGGCTGACTGCAATTTAGCGTGAACCCCCATCTGGATCGATCTAAATCTCTGGGAATGCACCCTTAGAGATCATTGCAAAAACCACACTATTCTGAACACAGCCTTTGTGACTTCTGAAGTCATTTGGTTGTGAATTAACTCACTATATGTGCAACCATCTGTCCTATAAAGATTTTTTTCAAGACCAGTATAATAACCAGTTTTTACCTGATCACTCAACTGTGCCTTTTGGTCTTCTAAAATCTTCACTTTCCCTTTCATGGATAACATATCTCTCTCAAGTTTGCTCTTGTCTTGTTTTGCCTTCCAGAGTTCTTCTTCACTTCCAGACTTTGTTGGTAGGACTGAAATTGTGATCAGTGATGTCAAGCTTTTTTTCTCTCGTACATCCCAGTAGTTTGTTAAAGTCCACAAAATGACATAATAATGTAGACCCATTTAACTGCTATACAGGTAGTAGAATGATTGTTCAAATGAATTTTGGGAACAAACAGCCAAGGGTTATGTATAGCACAGAAATAAAGCTGAAATTCTCTGTTTAAATATTTGGAAGGGGGTATGAAATGACACCCTTTGATATTTCTTTAGGTTATGCTATTTGAAGCTATATGGTGGCATTTGGATGGGTTAAGAGGCAAAGATTTGTATGTAAGACATGTAACTTGAAAAGAAAAAGCTGAGACAAAATACACAAAAATCTTCCATTCCAGGGAAGCGTAATTATTCTTCCATCATTGAACGCTTTTATAAATCTTCAGCAGTAGAACAGACTGACCCGTACCCTCAGAGCTTTGTTTGGCCTTTTTCTCTGCTTGTGCTCGTAGTAGTTTCTCTTTGCCAAGTTCTCCTTTCAGTTTGAGTGTCTCTTTTTCCAGTTCTTTCACCTGAAACAGTTGAGAGTTAATTAAAATTCAAAACTGTTTTTTCATACATTTTGAACCAAATATGTCTTATTGGTGACATTGTAATTATTAACCATTTGTGTGTGTGTGTGTGTGTGTGTGTGTGTGTGTGTGTGTGTGTGTGTGTGTGTGTGTGTGTGTGTGTGTGTGTGTGTGTGTGTGTGTGTGTGTGTGTGTGTGTGTGTGTGTGTGTGTGTGTGTGTGTGTGTGTGTGTGTGTGTGTGTGTGTGTGTGTGTGTGTGTGTGTGTGTGTGTGTGTGTGTGTGTGTGTGTGTGTGTGTGTGTGTGTGTGTGTGTGTGTGTGTGTGTGTGTGTGTGTGTGTGTGTGTGTGTGTGTGTGTGTGTGTGTGTGTGTGTGTGTGTGTGTGTGTGTGTGTGTGTGTGTGTGTGTGTGTGTGTGTGTGTGTGTGTGTGTGCATACGTGCATGCGTGTGTATGTGTGTGAACATGGCTGCATGCATGTCTTCATCTCTTCAACTTGAAGAACCCTTCATCTTACACATAAACCCATATGGTTTCTGCATAATCATACCCTTTCTCTGGCTTTTGTGTTCTGTTCTTCAACCTTCCTTTTGTCAGCCTGCAGTTTGCTCAGCTCCTGTTCCTGGACGGATCTCAGCTGCTCTTTCACTTGTTTCATGCTCTCTTGCTGCTGTCTGAGCTCTTCTTCGTGGTCGCGGCGCTCTTGTTCCAACATTTGTTGAAGCTGGGAATTGAAAAATGACAAGAAACTTGAATGTTTTCAATGATTTTAAATTTCTGGCATAAATAATATTAGAAGATAAAACAGCATTAACAAATTCAAAAGACCAAAACCAGTATGTTAAATTCATAAAATCAGTTAGATCTGCTTATTTATTATTTTCTTTTTTTCTTCTTTTTAAATCTATCTTTGGTCATGCAGACAAACAGTATTTATAATCTGCACGTAATGACTAAAAATAACTTCCTAGTATTGATGATTATTTGACTTCGTATGGCATAAATTGGAGTCTTCATATTCTAGCTGTGCCAGTCATGGCAAAAGAAGCCTCACCTTGGACTGACTGACATTGAGGCCATTATCCGGACCAATGCCACCACTGCTATTGTGTTTACTCTGCTCAGCCTCGAGTTCATCTAGCAACCTTGCCCTCTCCACCAGTAAGAAGGCAATCTGTTCACTGACGGAGCCCTGGGCAATGTCATCCAATCCCTGCTGGATCAACATCTCTCTCACCTCCTCATTTTGATGGGCTGTAAATATAGAGGCTGTGTAATAATAATAATAATAATAATAATAATAATAATAATAATAATAATAAACTATTTATAGACTTTTTTTTACAAAATATGAATAAAAGACAGCTGACTTAAATTTTTCTCACCTTTTAAAACACACATACTAACAGTTTATTTGCAGAAATGCATTTTTCTGCTTTAAAAATTGCTGAGATTCCTATATATATTTCATTTTTCTATTTTTTTTCTTTTTTTGTTGATGTTTTGTTTTCAATGATTATGAAGAGATGACCAAACTTTAAAGAGTTAAAAATACATTGTAGAAGAGTAAAAACATCTTTGAATGGCCCATTACTAACTTTCTAGCTCCTGTTTTAGATGCTCAATCTCAGCTTTTAGTTGTTCATTCTCATTTTCGAGCCCTGTTGTCAGGGACATTCTCTCCTCAGAGAGGCTCCGTATGTGCTCCACATAGTTCTCTACCTCCTTCATCTCATCTTCCTGCTGCTTACGGAGCTGTTCCACATTTTCCTGGGCAGTTTTTAGCTTGCCCTAAAAATGGAAGTAATCACTTGTTACAGGGCTGTCATTGTAACAGGAACACTTTTATCCAATTTGTTTGGTTTTTTGAAATTTTACATGGTTTAAGTGGATTTTTAAAGGCAATTGGGGGGGGGGGGGGGGGTATATCTCCTGAATAGAAGCTATTCACCCAGCTAGCCTCATTTCCTGATGAACATGTTCTGTTAGACATCGAAATATTGGAGGTGAATTATTTCAATATAAAGCTCTTGACTGAAGAAAATAATTGTTAATTGTTTTACACTATAAGGCTGTAAAAATTTCTAATAGATCATTATTATAATCATCATAACAGGATTTTTCCATAAATGCTAACAAAACCAAAATTTTAAAATTTTCAAAAACATTATTTATTTGTGACACCACCAAATCATACCAGATAAAATTATTTGAAGTGGCTTGGGAATGATTTTGAAAGATGATAATGAGAAAAGTGATGCAAGAATTTTTCTTTTATAATAATATTTAGTACTTACAAAATGTAACAGCATTAGAGTCAGTACAAAAGCCCTTAAAAATTGAGCTGCTGCAGTAAAAAGGAAGCACAGACAGTACACTGAAGAAAAGTGAAGCAAAAAAAATTCTGATAACACATAACAAAAGTGCCAGACAAACCTCTGATTCCAGATACAGCCTCCAAAGATGAGTGACCTTCTCTGTGTCCGTACACTGTGGGTCAAAACCATTGCTGACCAGTTTCTGCTGGACGTCCAACAAGTCCTGGCCACTCTGAAGAGAAGGTTATGATTTTTTTTATTCATTCACAGGCCTATGGGCAAAAATGGCATTTTCATCTGGGTAAAAATGGCCTCTTTAAATCAATATGTAAGTTTTACATGTATGCCATTTAATATAAAACTGTACTTTTCAAAGGACATAAGGTCCACTTTTTAGAAAAAGGAAACCTTCTTTCCAAATTGCTGGGTGCAGCCTTGATTTATTGTATAAGAGTGGACAACTCCAGTCTACATGTAGATTGATTTTAATTTATTCATTCATTAAAAATAATTTTGCAATCAGTAAAAGAAAAAAAGGTGGTTGCAAAATATAAAATATAACATAAAAATACTACACACTGTTGCACTACTTCGTTTTACGTAACAGATGTAGCTTCTACTTGAAAAATATTTATATATAGACTAGTCCTGTAGATCCACTTTTGAAATGTGTAGTGTCAAGTGTCAAACGCCGAACCTTGTCCGTACGGAACTTACCATGCCACCCTGTTTATCCACCATTTTTATGCCTTCAGCTGCAAATCATCAACAATTTGCAACTGTTTTGAGAATATGCAGCATCAATGAAGGCTGCACGAGCAATGTGATTAAAAATCGCCGATATTTTTATCTGCATCCCACTTGACCTCATTCTCGGCGGCCATTTTCAAACTATCCTTGTTTACAACTGAACGACCAAGCTATCACTCCGCTTGAAGTATTCATAACGTTCAAATCTTCACACAAGTAAGTTTGTACAGAATATATGGCATAAAACGATGATAAAATATAGTTATACTTAACTTTATCAGGTATAACTGGTCACAATATTGCGTTAATTTTTGATCTATTTATTTATGCTTCACAACTTCCGGTCACCTGCTTGGTGAGATGGTGTACTTCCCAAATGGATGAATGAAAGGTATTTGTTTGTAGTTTCACGGGTTTAAGGAGTTGCCTTTTGTGGAATTTAAATGCTTTTGTTGGTTTGATTCCCATGTTGAAATCATTATTCACTAAAGTTTTATATACAAAACGTGTAGTTTAAAGTTGAACGTTCTGATGAAGTTTTGTACCAAACGCCAACGATGAAAGCAAAGTTGCCAAAGACACTTTGAAGTTTGATGATATCATAGTGATATGGTCACAGTAGTACTATTAGTAATGTCAGCCAAAACAATATCTTTGACATTAGGTTAACAGTTAAATACTGGTGCACTGACAGATTTTAATTGGTAAATGGTTGAATAAGTTGCCTTTAATAGAATATGATCAGTAATTGATACGACTGCTTCTGTGTGAGTTTTCTTTTTCTTTTTTTCTGAAATTATTTACTAGTATTGACATGAATTAATAATTGCAGCTCAAAATACCAGGTATACTATAGTACTCCAACTAATGGTGAAACAATTGATTTAGGATAATTATTTAGAACAACACAGTATAATCAAATATGGTTTATTTTCTTTCAGAATTGTAAGGAGGACAAGCAGAATTGGGGGTATGCCTCCCCAGTATGTCATCATTGTGAAAAATATTTTTAGAAAGAAGTTAGTATTTTTTGCAGTGACATAAAGCATCTATCCAGATGAAGAACAGCAAAGTAGAATTTCAAATCCCTTGAAATTGTCACATGCGAACCTAAAGGAAAGAATTTCAAACCTTCGTATATATATGTAGCTATTTTCTATATAAGTATTAGAGTGTCATTGAAGCCTCAAGACTGATGTGTAAAGAAAATATGCAAGATTTATGCATGTTGTCAGTATTGGACACCAGTATTTAAAAAAGTCCAGTGTATTAAAACTATGCAGCAACCACTATTAATGAACAACGCTCTTTAAAGTTAATGTTATTTGCACTGAACAAAATCATAAAAAAGGATTTTACAAAATTTGCACATTTGAGACGAATAAATTTCTTTACAAGGACAGAGGATCATTGAAAAACTTAATGATGGAGAAACATTTTTAAAAAGATGACAAAAATTGCTCGTGGAAGATATTCCGGAATGTGACAGTTGACATAAGGTACCTTTTTATTCAAGTTCTTTAATGGATTTGAATGAAAATTTAATCCCTGGATAGTCCTTATGAAGTTGTTAGAATATCTAGAAGAAGGAATAATGTCTGGAGGAATCTTCTATCCTGGTGAAAATCTCGACTCTATGGATGAGTCGAAAAGAAACCCCTTGCTCTGTTACCTATGCAATGAACACTATGAGGACCCTTGCCTGCTGAAATGTTTTCACTCTTTCTGTGCAAAATGTCTACGTGGTCGAGGAGCGGAGGGGAAAATGAAATGTCCATTGTGTGGGTAAGGCAATAACTTATAGTTACTTATATTAGATGTGATCTACAGTAATGCCTCGGTCTTCTCATTGGGGAAACAAATTATCAATCTTTCAGAAACCTATTTTTTAAATCATTAAAAATAATACTATGTATATGGCATTTTTGGGTCTTCTGTTGTATAGAATAGGACTATTGGGTGCCACGTGTATTATCCAGCTTTTGAATTTTGCTGCTGTCACTCGATAGAAATGTCCCTATAATAATTTTGAGAATTTCAATGTTCCATTGTTGAGATAATTGTGTAGAATAGTATGACTTATCGGTATCTTTAATTCTCCTAGGTAAAACATTTTTCTTTACAATGTTGTTTCTGTAACAGTGCCAGTATTTAAAAATAACCAGTGAGGAAATGTTTTTCTTTGCAGTATTGATACCATACTAAAAGATGACCAATCACTGCCAGCCTCAGATTCACTGCTGAAATTCCTGGTCGAGTCTTCCTCTGAGGACAGAGCTCAGTGTGCAAACTGTGATGCTGTAAGTTTACCGATATTCCTTTAACCAAACACCATCTGGTCATGTAGCTTGAATAATATATCATCTTAAAATAAAATTGTTCACTGTCTTATAGTATAATTAGCCTCATCTTCTCTTATAACAAAAAAAAAAAAAATAAAAAAAAAAAAAAAAAATGAACATGAAGGAAAAGCCTGTCTGAAGGTGTATATTTTAACAGTAATTTCTGCAATAATTCTGTGTATAAAACACTATATTAAGACACAAACTGTACACAAAAGTCAAAATGATATTACAAGAATAAGATACTGAAATGTGTAAATAAAATTGTTTCCTTATTCTTCAAAGTCTGTCATGCACTTTGTCTAGGTAGGGATAGAAAGGTGGTGAAATTTGATTAATTTTGCTGCCTGTAATAATCTCTGTTTAATTCTACAACCTGAAGAGAAAGGCTGTTCCAAGGAGGGTCGACGTTTCTTCAGTGTAAACACGCCTTTAGAATTCTGTATCTTTATTCCCAGTGTTCCACCCAAATGTTTTACTGCAACACTTGCTGTCAGCCTCTGTGCGAGGAGTGCCGTGAGGAGACCCACAGGGCGCGTATGTTCTCCTGTCACGAGATTGTCCCCATGACAAAACGGACAAAAGACATCCACAAAAGATGTGGTAAGGTCATGACACTGAGCTTCAGTGAGCTTACAAGAACTCAAGTTTGCCGTCTTAAGTCCTAACTTCTGCAGCAAAAAAAAAAAAAAAAAGAAAAGAAAAAAAAAATGAAAAGTAAATTAAGTTAGTAAACACCATTTTATCCAGCATACTATAGAGAAATATTATTTGTTAGTTTTGTTTGACTTTATTTTTGTGTAGCATTTGTGTTCCTTCTACTGTATAGAACAGAACTACAAGGTACCCTGAGTTCAGTTTTGTGGCTACCACTCAATAGGAATGTTCCAATTTCAAGAATTTATGACTGAAAAATAATACAATATATGTAAATTTAACAATTTTCTCCCATTGAAAATATTAAGTTATTACTGTACTTATTGCCATTATCTGACTCGTCCACATCTCCTGTGAAGTGGATCAAGAGCTGTTTTTATTCTCTGTCTCTCAGTCAAATGAATATATCCTTCTTTTCTTTCACAGCCTTACACAGTGAACCCTACATCATGTTCTCAACAGACACAAAAGCAATGCTGTGCATCAACTGTTTTAGGGACATGACCACGTGAGTTGTATTTTTTTAAAAACCCATTTAGAATATGTTTATGTATATGTGAAGGTTACATAACATGTCAAGGTACAAAATTGAATAGATCACTTTGATGTAATTATATTGCATGTTCAAGCACACATGCACATACTTAATCAAGATAATACAAATTTTGTAGTAAAAAATTAATACAAGTATAAAAAAAATTGATGCTGTTAATGATGCAAGAGATATAAGATTTTTAGATGGAATATCATTTCTTAAACAGGACCAGAGTCAGTTTTAAGTGATTGTGTTAGGGTCCAAGAAGTTTCAGGTGGACATAAAAGTTAATAATTCTTGACATTTTAATATTTTGTTTTTAAAAGTTGATCAGGAAGATAAAGGTGTAAAGAGAACCAGGAAAAAGGCGTTTGACAGATGACATGTTTCTGACTATTGGTGGATTTTCATCTTTTTTGGGAACTAAAAATATCATTGGTCTAGGCAGCCCCCTGGACCCTGCGGCATATTTTCTGACTTTTTCACTAAATGGCAGTCTCATCCCTGATATAAGGGTTCTTCAGGAGTGTCAGATTGCTATAATAATATTTTTCCATTTCAATTATTTCTTTCAGAGAGAGCAGGTCATATTGTATAGACATAGAAACTGCTCACAATCAGGGATGTAAGAAACTGGATGAGTCTGTCCAGGTAAATTTCTTTTAATTTAAGTTTTTTTTTTTGTTCATTTGATAATCTCCTCATTTATTTATTTGTTTGTTTGCCTGCTTGTTTGTTTGTTTTAATATAAAGGCATTAGATTTAAAAGTTTAATATGTATTTATTTGTTGCAGTAGATCTTTGTGTATGTTTGACATAAAATTATCAAGTAATTCAAATCTTATCCTCTTTTTTTAAATTTTTTTTACAAGGAACACTTAAGCAAACAAAGCAAAAAGATGAAAAAAACTTCTGTAGTATTACTTCACATTATTTTAGGCATTGTTTGTAACAAACACTATATGGAGAACATTGCAAATAGAAGTCAATGGCATCTTACCAATCTTTTTAGACAATACGTGAATTGCAAAGCTCAGTTCAAGACGGCATAATACTTATGAGAGCCCTGATAGAAGAGATCAAGGCAAATCTTGAAAGAGAAAAAGATTCCATCAAAGACCTTTATTCAGCCATGCAGGAGAAAATTGGAGAAACAAAAGAGATTCTACTGGAGGAGGCAGATAGGTGAGAAAAAGGCGTTTTCAGAATTTTCAGAATTTTTTGTGTAGATGGCATGCATCATGGTTTTGTGGTTGAGTAGAAAAAACTGATGTGAAAATCAGAATCTATACAGATCCATTTGGCAGCCAATCTAATTAGTAGTGTCCATAGGCTGTAAACTTATCACCCATTGCTTCTGTTGACTAGGGGTGCCTTCACAATGAATCTGTGGCACTTGCTTCGGGGCACCTTTTATTGAGTAGAGTACGGAAAGCCTGGTGATTATATCAATACGTTTGAAACAAGTGTTATTCTATCAATCTGTTTGCATTTCAGATCTCCCAATGTCTTTGTACATGAAAGTTTTAGATATAATTTTTGTAACTCATTATTAACCGATATAAACAAGAATTGATTTCTGTTGTGAATGTTATTTCAGACAATACCAGAACAAACAGAAAGTTTTCCGGGAACAATTGACAGCTTTGAACACTCTCCTTCCCACCCTCCATGTTAATCTGGTCACGTGTGCTGCCTTCACCAGTTCAGCTAACAAGTACGAGTTCCTGGACCTGGCATATGTAAGTGTTCTGTATCAAGCCCGTAGCTAGAGGGGTGTGGGGGGGGGGGGGGTTCAAACAAACTGGCCTTTTTGAGGGAAAAAATGTCTGCTCTGGGTTAAATTTGATCTAGATACATGAAGATTTTATGGGAAAGAGTTCTTTTTTTAAAAAAAAAAAAAGAAACTCCAGTTTGAAATTGCTGGCTATGGACCTGTCTATCACAATTAATAGAAATGATGAGAAAATGATTCAAATTTTCCTCATAGTGAATAGTCAACAAGTACGAGTTCCTGGATCTAGTGTATGTTTGTATATTTAGTATTGTGTACTTAATTCATGTTAACAGATGATCAAAAGTACTCTGCTAAGGCAGAAAGAGCCTTACATTTGGAATATGTCTTCATAATTTTCAAGCAAGTTTTTCATTTACCTAGAAACTTATGTCCAGGCTACGAGCCATAGCCAGACTGCAGCATCCCATAAGTCCACTTCAGAGTAGCATGATTTACACTGATTTCAAGGCAGAATTTGCCAGGTGAGAAATAAGTTAATTGTTACAGAAAAAAAATTATAATTTCAATATTTGCTTTGTTTTGTTTTTCTTGCAGGTATTTAGAAAGGTTGAAATTTTTATCAAGGTTAACTTCTGATCAGAAATAATGTCAGTCTCTGTTAACAGATCAGAAAAATAAGTATGAAAAAAATTTGAAAAGGACGATGTGGGGTTCATGACATACCCATTCAACTTTAAAAATCAGTTGCCTTTATATTAAAATAAATAAATAATCTTTTTGCAGGTGTCTTGAAGGTCTGTTGAGTTTCAAGCCTCTCCGTGACTCTCCCAGTGTCAGCATGGTCTCGTCCACTGGAACAAATGGCGGCTCAGTCAGGTAGGGTATGATGTGTCTGGTGTCTAATTGTTTTACTCTTCTCAAATTATATATACATATATATTGGGTGTGGTGTTAGGCATTGAGTTCCCTGTGAAACCATGTTCTTCTTAATCACTGTGATATCATGAACTTCTGTGACATCACACCATAGGAGCAATGTGACATCACAACATAAGAATTGATGTAATGTCACCATACAGGAGCAGTGTGACATCACACCAGAGGATTGCTGTAACATTACCATACAGAAGCAGTGTGACATCATAGCAGGGAATTAATGTGACATCACCATACAGAAGCATTTTGTTTCAGAATTCATAGGAACTGTGTTAAGATATTCGGTTGGTTTGTACATTTCTGTTTACATTTCATTAACTAGGTCTGATGGCAGAATATTTTCCTTTTAAGATTTGAAATCCCAGTGACGTCAGTGGGTGCAAAGACACCAACCACCTCAACTATGCCATTATTCAACTCAGGGGTACGACGCAATCTCATGAACAGCAACAAACAGAAGTTAATGGAAAAAGAAGGGATATTTGCTGAACATTGCAAGGAATTCAATGTGAAATACCAGGTATGATAATAAGATAATGATGATTATTATGATTATAATTTGAAAAATTATTTTTAGTTAGAGGACAATGATTAGATGTGCTAGTGGATGATTTTTACAAAATGGACTTTTGACAGAATTTTTTTTTCCAAGTAATGCTCAGTTAACTTGCACAACTTTATCAGTAATCAGCTGATATTGGCAAAAATTTTACAAATAAGTCCATGGGTAGAAAAGATACCGTTTTTTATATGCTGTCATTGTTCCATAATTTTTCCTTTGAACTCTTCTTTCATGTAGGAAATCAACCAGAAGTTTGAAAAGTTGAAAACTCAGGTTCAGGAGACACACAGAGATATGACCTTGAGGCGGTGCCTTATCAAGGTCAGTGACCTTTCTTATGACCTTGACATTTTAACATTACCTTGACCATTGATTATGAATTCATAAAGTTTCACTTTACAGCCATTGAATAAATTACAAATTATGAAAATGAAAAAGTTTATTGTAACACATTTGATAAAACATATTTAACACATTACAGTTGCACCAAGATGAATGGTTTTACAAGTGTGGAATAGATAAATTTTCCAAATATGAATGTTAAAATCATTCTATATTTTTAGAAGTGCTTATTAAATGAAATACTAGAAGAATGCAGTCAGGTCGAAGCTAAAGTCGCAGAGCAGTTTGACTTGACGGAGCAAAAAAGACCAACTTTGGAAAAACACTGGGAAGATACTTTTCAGAGAGTGCAATATGAGCAGGAGATATATCAAGGTATTGGAGAGTCAGAGTTAAATCGCTGCTATTCTGTGGTATTTTTAATTAAAATTCTTAGTCACTCTGTCTTGTCATTCAGCTACATGTCCTTGGACTCAAAGGTATTTCTTGTCACCCATAACAACTTAAACAAGTGTATTCAGACTATATTATATTATGTTGAATGGTTTTATAAGATATCTGTTTAAGTACACAAGTATTGTTCAATTTGTTAATATATATAGTATATTTTAGTTAAGAAAGATATTGTTAGTCTTAAATTCTATATCACTCCCAAATATATTCTATGTTATAATGAATTTATATTTAGCTTGATTTATTCCTGTGCACAGTTGACAATTGGGCAATAAGAAGAATAATAAATTAAGCATTCTGATATTTGACTCTAATCTTTGGAAATGCTTGTTAATAATTTATAATAATTTATGCTTATTTATTTATTTATTTATTTATTTATTTTAGCACAAATGTCTGATCTCATAAGACTAAAACAGGAAAACCAGCATCTGGTAGCAATCTCAAAACGACTGGAGCCTTTTTTGAAGTCAATAACAGATGTAACCGAGAGGATCTCTCCAAAGTAACATGCTTTTAATTTATTTTATCTTATTCTTTGTATCTCATTCATGTGAAGTTTATTTTATTAAGGTCCCTGTTTAAAGAGTATATAAAATCTAACATGCGAAAAAAAAATTTTAAAATGAGAAGAGAAAAAGATATGTGAAGGTGTTCTTGAGAATTGATATAATAGTGTTGAATAAAAGAATGAAGGTGCTAATTAACTGTAGGAAAAATATTTTAGGCTACTGGCCCCCAAAAATTAATGTCAGACACAGTTAAGAAATGAGTTTGAGTTTTATCTATACTTCAGTTGTCTTCATTCACCTAACTTTTTTGTTCTAGTCAAAGTTATGCTTGTTATTATACTTTTGTGTTTTTTATTTACCTAGGAGAGGCGATGGATGTAAGAACAGTCAAAAGGCAGATCAAATGCATGCCCTGATGGAGGAGATTCACACTATCACTCCAGACTCTCAGCAGAGGTAATCTAATACGCATTTGCTCGTATTCACAAATTTTTGCACATGCACACACATGCAAATACAAACACATGCACACAGGTCATAAGGCAAAGCAGATGCATATGTCCCTTGAAAGAGGAGATTCACACTATCACTCCAGACTCTCAGCAGAGGTAATCTAAGATACATTTCCTCGTATTCACAAACATTTGCACATGCACACACACGTGCACACAGGTCATAAGACAGGTCTGATGCATATTTGTCTTGTATGAGATACTGTCCAGACTTTCAGCAGAGGCAATGTAACATATGAGCACAAAGGCATGCGCTTATACAGGAATGTACATGTTTATGTATGCCCACAGGTTAACAGTCTGATGAGAGCAGTCTTGATCACAGCAGAAGTAACGTAACATTTTCAACCACATCATCAATATTCCTTTAAGGAACTCAGATTCAAGCGATTAAACCCCTTTGTAATTGTCAGTACCCGCTTACGGTTTCTGTGTATTTCTTTTTATCAATGTATTACACATTTTTTAAATTTTCTTTTTCATCCTTCATATAAAGAAATAAGTATGGATTATATTTTCTCACAATGCTAGGGTTGATGCTATCAGAATTACTCAGGAGGAACGCCAGTCTCAGATAGCTAACAGAACAAACCCTATGGATGATGCTCTCATTAAAACTAAAGGGCTCTTAAAGGCTCCCTCGGAGAGGAAAGAGATTGGGAAGAAGAAAGACAGGATTGTGGCACCAAAAACTGAAACAGGAAGTGAAGAAGAAATGGAAACTGTTACAGTAGAGAGCACTATGGTTAAATCAGTAATTGAGAATTCAGCATTTAGTCAAGCGGAATGGGAAAGTCCCGTGGATATTCAGGTTGAGGAAGCAAGTGAAATGAGTGAAAGTGAGGCACAAGGTAAATCAAAGGTCAAGGTTGCTCAAGGTCAAGGTCAAAATGTCAAGGTCAATAATGGATTGAGTGTGAGTGCGGCTGACTTTCACATAACGAACGGTAAAGATAGGACATCTTCTCCTTCTTCATCTTCTGATATTTATGAAAGTCCGTGGGGTAGCCCAGGATCTGGTGAGTCTTGGATTGCAGAGGGCAGCACAGTCAATCTCAAAGCAATAATCACAAAAATTACGGTCGACGGGGAAAGTTTTCCTTGCACCGATGAAAAGCTCCACACTGAAGCGGAAATCTCTGAACTGTTGAGTGGAGGTAGCATTGTGAGCACTTCACCTTTTAAAGAAATGGACTTGAAGCAGAAAATTGAAAGCATGAAATCTGGAGAAAGCATTTGTTGCTCGGAAAGTGCCAAAAAAAGTAAGAGGTCATTAGAGGAAGAGATGAAGAAATAGGTGAAATATCTGTGATATACAGTGACTTTTGATATGATATTTTCTCCACAGATTTTGATATTTTGAAGCAAATTCTATGCTTATAATATAGGTGCTCCAGATAATGTATGAATATATCTTTCACACAAACTTTGTTAGTTTTCAAGTTTAAGAGCAGTATTCTTATTTGAATTATAAGATCCAGGTTACTTGGATTCTTTTGAGTGACATCGATTTCTTTTTGTTGACGATCTCATGTGAAATTTTGTAAACAGTAATCTAGTCTTCATTGTCAAATACTCAATTAGTATATGCAACTTTAACTAAATGCTTAAGTTCTTCAGTTGGGATATAGAAAGTGAAAATTTTGTAATACCCCCCCCCTCCTTCTCGGAATTCTTTCCCTGGTTACAAAAATTGACTTTGAGTTAAATTTTTCTGTGATTTGAAAAGAATGCCAGGGTACATACATCTTTTGGTATGTTTGAATGTATAAAGCATCTCTGAGGAAACAAGAGATCTTTCATTTCAGAAATATGGCAATAAACTGCTAAATTTTGTTAGCGTAGGTTCCCCTGTGATATGTGTAAAGACACTATAGGTGGCGTCACCTCCTCCTTTCAGACACGTATTATAAGATTCATACTCACAATGTACATCCTCAGCATGCACCAAATTAGTTGTCTGTTATTTATTATAACTATTTTATTATTATAATTATTTGATTTCGACATAATGATAAAATAATAATGATTTTTTAAAATTGTTGTTGTTATTTATTTGTACTTGTAATATTTTGTCAGATTTTTTATATTGAAAATTCACCCTTAAGTGCTTAAATAAGAACCAATAATTTCCAGACTTTTGGGGCTGTGGGTGGTATTTTCCCCCACCAACACCAGATTCACATGATGGAGTGTAAATTTCTAAGGATTATTAACTTTCTGAAAGATAAAAATGTTCATTGACGTCATCTACTGTCGTTCAAAGTTGAAGGACCTTTAAAAAGCTTTCAGAGTTCTTTGTTGGCAAAGTAATGATCAGTTAAAAAATGAAATATCACTGTGCTTTTAGAATAAAAGGTAAATATTACAACAGAGTAATTATCACCCTAATTGCATTGACGACATCTACTATGGTTCAACGATAAATATGGCTTTGAAACGCGCATCGTGACCTTTAAGCGTCACAATTACTATGTCTAAATTCCCTGCATTTGCATGGAGTGTATGGGATTTATTAAGTCACATATGGCAAAATGTTTCATTCGTGGATATTTTACATTCCAGGGATACCTAACTACAACACGCGATTGTGTGCAATACCGCTGCGCACCCCCCCCCCCCCCCCCCGGTCAATCCGTGTTGACCAGAACAAACTGATAAATGTCAAAACATTACCAACACACACACACACACACACACACACACACACACACACACACAC